TGGTACTGGCACAAAAACAGAAATATAGATCAATGATACAGGATAGAAAGCCCAGAGATAAACCCACGCACATATGGTCACCTTATTTTTGACAAAGGAGGCAAGAAGATACAATGGAGAAAAGACAGCCTCTTCAATAAGTGGTGCTGAGAAAACTGGACACCTACATGTAAAAGAATGAAATTAGAATACTCCCTAACACCATACACAAAAATAAACTCAGACTGGATTAAAGACCTAAATGTAAGGCCAGACACTATAAAACTCTTAGAGGAAAACATAGGCAGAACACTCTATGACATAAATCACAGCAAGATCCTTTTTGACCCACCTCCTAGAGAAATGAAAATAAAAACAAAAATAAACAAATGGGACCTAATGAAACTTAAAAGCTTTTGCACAGCAAAGGAAAACATAAACAAGACGAAAAGACAACCCTCAGAATCGGAGAAAATACTTGCTAATGGAGCAGTTGACAAAGGATCAACCTCCAAAATTTACAAGCAGCTCATGCAACTCAATATCAAGAAAACAAACAACCCAATCCAAAAATGGGCAGAAGACCTAAATAGACATTTCTCCAAAGAAGGTATACAGATTGCCAACAAACACATGAAAGTACCCTCAACATCACTAATCATTAGAGAAAGGCAAATCAAAACTACAATGAGGTATCACCTCACACCAGTCAGAATGGCCATCATCAAAAAATCTAGAAACAATAAATGCTGGAGAGGATGTGGAGAAAAGGGAACCCTCTTGCACTGTTGGTTGGAATGTAAATTGATACAGTCATGATGGAGAACAGTATGGAGGTGCTTTAAAAAACTAAAAATAGAACTACCATACGACCCAGCAATCCCACTACTGGGCATATACCCTGAGAAAACCATAATTCAAAAAGAGTCACGTACCACAATGTTCACTGCAGCTCTATTTACAATAGCCAGGACATGGAAGCAACCTAAGTGTCCATCGACAGATGAATGGATAAAGAAGATGTGGCACATATATGCAATGGAATATTACTCAGCCATAAAAAGAAATGAAACTGAGTTATTTGTAGTGAGGTGGATGGACCTAGAGACTGTCATATGGAGTGAAGGAAGTCAGAAAGAGAAAAACAAATACCCTATGCTAACACATATATGTGGAATCCAAAAAAAAAAAGGTTCTGAAGAACTTAGGGGCAGGACAGGAATAAAGATGCAGATATAGAGAATGGACTTGAGGACACGGGGAGGGGGAAGGGTAAGCTGGAACAAAGTGAGATAGTGGCATGGACATATATACACTACCACATGTAAAACAGATAGTGGGAAGCAGCTGCATGGCATAGGGGGATCAGCTTGATGCTTTGCGACCACCTAGAGGGGTGGGATAGAGAGGGTGGATAGAGGGATCTAGGGACCACCTAGAGGGATAGAGAGGGAGACGCCAGAGGGAGGAGACATTGGGATATATGTATATGTATAGCTGATTCACTTTGTATAAAGCAGAAACGAACACACCATTGTAAAGCAATTACACTCCAATAAAGATGTTAAAATAAAAGGTAAAAAAAAAAAAAAGATGAATGGTTTTACTAATGTAATTGACCACATTGTAAATTATATATTTACAAATGTATGGTATAACACACAAATCTAATTAATGCATTTAGTATCATATACATTCATCAAATTTTTATTGTGTCATAAACTTGTGCCTCCAGTGTAACGTCTTCAAAATATTATATATTTTATAATTAAGTTCATAACTTTTGCTAAAAAAGAATTTTCTTTCTCAGTGAAATTCAATGTAAGCTCTGAAATGAATGATATGTAAGTATTTTTATATTCAAACAACAATCCTCTCCAAAGAAAAGAAACAATAATTAAATTCTTCTAATTATGGCTAAAGCTGAATTTAAAGAGTTGCTTGGATTTAACGAAATAAGAATTTATGTCTTAAATTGTGTATCTTTCAAGACTTTTATGCTTTGTTTTGGGATAAAATACAATATTATTCAATTAAAAAAAGTATAGAGTTTTAAATACTTAAACAAGTACACAGACTGCATGTCCATATATACTGATTTTATCCTCACAAAATGTTAGAAAATAGATGCACTGTGACAGAAGCATGACCAAGTGCTTTTAGTCTTTTTGGTCACTTTTTAGAAGTAACCAAGATATTTTAGTCAAAAGATTAATTCTTTTGCTATTTGAAAATGCTAAAAATATTCAAAGCAGATAAAGTCTGGTAGGCAGACAATGAAAAGACTACTAACAAAACCCAATCAACTGAATACCAAGACAGTTATATATTAATTAGGATACTGATTATTAAGCATATAATACAGTTTAGGGAACTCAAAATTTGATATATTTAAACTGCTATATTTTATAAATCAAACAAGTCTTATTTAATGTCATTGTATTGGAGCTGCATTTTGAGGTAGGATATAGTACAAGCTATATCACCAATATGATTCCAAATGAATTTTTTTAAAGCATAAGGAAAACAGTGAAAAGAATTATGCTGAAATGTTAATAGTTGTGGGTAGGATTATGGGTGGTCTTTTTCTGATTTTTTTCTATATTTTCAAATTTTTCTATAATGACTATGTATTACTTTTTATAGCCAAAAAATAAACATATTTAAGATGGTTCTAGGGGATATAGCAAATTAGCTGAGATAACATCTTCAACATTATTATTTTTAAGACTAGACTTCCAGGAATTCCCTGGTGGTCCAGTGGTTAGGACTCTGAGCTTCCAGTGCTGGGGGCCGGGGTTTGATCCCTGGTCGGGGAACTAGGATCCTGCAAGTCACGTGGTGCAGCCGAAAAAAGAAAGAGAAAGACTAGACTTCCCAGGTCAGTTGGTAAAACAGGAGTTATGCTCACTTTACACATCTCCAAGATTATTTAGCTTTTTTAAACTTTTTATATTTGTTTCATTCAAGAGCATGATTAGGATCCAGGTTTCTTTCTTTCTTTCTTTTTTAATATTTATTTATTTACTTATTTTATTTTGGCCACGCCGGGTCTTAGTTGTGGCACATGGGATCTTCGTTGCTGCGTGCGGGATCTTTAGTTGCGGCAGGCTGGATCTAGTTGAACCCTGGCCCTCTGCATTGGGAACGTGGAGTCTTATCCACTGGCCCACCAGGGAAGTCCCAGATCCAGGTTTCTTAAACCTGTTTACCACCATATACCACACTGTCATTTTAAGAGATGTCTAGTAGACTCAGCAGTATAAACATGGGCCATTTAAACAGTAAACATCTAATTTCAGATATCTCAAATTTGAAAGTGAATTTTTTTAAAGCAAAAATGGTTTTGTGCTAATTGCTCTGTGTCCTACTTAATACCTGCTTACATTTTAATTTTTTGCCGATAGCGTTTCAAGTAAAAGGTTCAGCTATATGTTGCAGGCTGTATTTCAAGTAAATATTTTAATTATATGAGTAAATACCTCTGCATTACTACACTGAAAATCAGAAAGGTTAGTCTCTTCGGCAGAATTCGTATGTTTGTATCACATCTCTATCCTAAAATGACTTTTATACTAGAACACAGAACCAGGAATCAGAAGACCAGGGACCTTAGACCATGCTCTAATTACTGGTCGGCTCGTGAGTCACTGGACCGCTCTAAGCTTTAATTTCCTCATCTAAAAATGAGGTTAGCATATACCGGCCTACCCTGAGTTTGAGGGCTAAACTGAACTATTTGGGAAAATGCCTGTAAATGATAAATACAATAAATATAAGGTAGTATTAGAACTACTTTTCTAAAATATTACTAAGTTTTAAGATTTAAAACTATGTTAATTCTGCTTATATTATATATTCAGTATATATCTTTTCATTGTGCATATATATCATTTTCCATTGGTTTCTATATTTTTATGGTTTCATTTTTATAATTATATTTTTAAGTTGAGATATAATTGATATATAACATTATATTAGTTTCAGGTGTACTCTTTATATCTTGTTGTACCCATCTTTAGTTTTCTTTACAGGTACAAAATAGTTGTGTTCCTAAAAAGAGCTGTAAAGTCAACTTTCAAAAGCCATTCTTAACTTGTTAGAAGAATACTTTCTCTAAAGGAAGGCTAATTCTTTTATAAAATGAGTATACATTATTTTAGAGATATTGATTCCTCTCTATTGGTGGCTTAAAGACAATATGTTTTTTCTTTTTTCTTTTTATTGGAGTATAATTGCTTTACAATGTTGTGTTAGTTTCTGCTGTAGAACAAAGTAAATCAGCTATACGTATACCTGTATCCCCTCCCTCTTGAGCCTCCCTGCCACCCCACCTCCATACCACCCCTCTAGGTTATCACAGAGCACTGAGCTGAGCTCCCTGTTCTATACAGCAGCTTCCCACTAGCTATCTATTTTACACATGGTAGTAAGACAATATGTTTTAATCATAACAGTACATCACCTTCATGGCACTTCTTGCTTTTGCAAAGTTCTTTGTCATGTTTTATCATTTCATTGAGGAAGATGGTTATTTCTACATATCTACATATAATTATGCAAGAAAACTTCCTTGTCTCAGTGATGGGTTTTATTATATGTTTGAATTTCTAGAGGTCATGATATGAAAAAACATGACTGATCTTAGAAATACATAAATATTATTTTACTTTTATTATTCTCTATTTTACTTTTTTATGATAATCAGAAGGCTTAATTTACTATAAAACAGGAAAACAACAGCTATCCTATATTTAGGGTTATTTTAAGAATTAAGTAACAAGAGCCCCTGGTACATGGCAGGCAATCGAATAAATGATCATTTCCTTCACACATATACATTTGTTCATTTATTCTTTTCTCCAGTGGTTCTGTGTTACACATAGACTAGACAACTATTTTTGTCTACAGAGACAAAGAGAAGTTAAATATCTAATCCTAAATAAGCCAATCAATTGGGAAAGGCTCCACTACAAACCATGCTACGGTGTTGGCGTGACAAGTAACACTAAATCTCTTACTTTCTGATGGTACTAGTTGTCGCTGAATTGCTTCCCCTACCAATTCCTTAAGTTTCTTCTTAAGATCTCTGCTGGTTTTCTTATAGAAATAAAGCTCTCTTTCCAGCTGCTGGATTTTATCTCCATAATTTTTAAAAGTTTCCACAGTGCCTTCCCCGTCTTGCTCTATAAAACAGAAATTTACATTTAAAATCAGTTTAAAGTAAATGATTGAAAATTCTAACAGAACTCCCAGACTGTATTGTAGGGTCAGAAGTATGTTACATGTATCTATTACTTGGCTGGATTTTTCAGCTACAATTTGGAGTCTTCTGCCTGTAAAATTTTTCGAAGTAGGATGAGCCCTTCTCCACCCTAATCCCTACCAGCTACCGCATTTTTCATGATTCATAAGCACTTTTTGAGTAGCTACTAACTAAATTTATCCTCAGAAGAGCAGAAGTAAGGTTCACATTTGGAACTCTGTCCAGCTGCATCAATGTCTTGAAGTTTATATCAGGAACCACGGATATATGGAAAGTTATAAGCCTAAAGTTTATAGGCCCAAGAAATATAGAACCAAAAAAACCCTCAAAAACTGGAAACCTGTCAAAAGAGGCTAGAAAGATTAAATTACAAAGGAAAACACCACCAAAAAAGGAGAAGGGGGGGAAGTATAAGTAAAGTTCTAGTTTATGACACAATATAATTTTAAAGCTTCTAATTAATATTTAGGAATGTCTAAAACTGTCCCCTTTGGGTTAGGTTCTAGAACCAGTAAAACGCAGTTTTACTGACCTTCAGAAATACACACTTTCAGACCTACTCTTTCCTATTGGTAAATCTATAAAATGGTCCTACTGGTTTGTAATTTTCTTTTGTTATAATTGGTTGTTTTGTAAAAATTGATCTAAGTATATCTGTAATTTTATATTAACCCATCATCTTGTTTAAAAAACATTTTAAATTAATAACATTACAAATCAGAATCCCCATGAAGGATATCATAAAAATGAACTTAATTTTATGGCCTATATTCAGGTGAAATTAGAAAATTCATAAGTTGTTAACATTTTCAGTTATAACCTTGCTGTGAAAAACTTGTCCCAGCTATAGAAATGAATGATTTTTTAAATGTTCTCATTTGGCTAAAGCATGAACTTTTGCGGTAAAATGCCAACCACTTGAAAAACATATTAAAAATTCTATTAAAATATCACTTTTAGAGACTTAAGACAGAATTAACATAAGGTAAGGAAAGCATGTTTGAATGAAATAACATGGAATCCAGTCAAGGAAATCCTGTCATCAGGCAACTGGTTGCTAATTAACTTGTTATAGAATTAACTTAGAGGCAAACTGCCTCAACACTCAAATGCATATATTTTCCAATTTTCTGCTTACTCAGGTTGCTTCTTCCAGATCCTTTTTAGCACATTTCCAGCTATAGATTCATAAGAATCAAGACTAAACAGCCAAGCCACCTGGACTGAAGCATTCCAGGCGTTGAAGTTATCGCCAGGCAGTGATTTTGTTGCCATAGGAACTGTGTGTACCAGCCATAAGCCCAGGTATTGAAGACCAATTGCTATGACAACTCCATACCACAGTTGACGGTTGAACTACTGTGCACTGATAACACTATGTGCCCATCAATGGTAGACTAATTTTGACCTAAGCTATAACCTTAATGCATAAAATTTATAATTTACTGAAAACTGTAACAAGAAATATAGCCAGAAATCTGACAGAACCTATCAGTTTAATTTTATGAAGGGAAAGTGATTTAAATATCAAGGTTCTATATCCTAGAGATGGGGAACTTTTCAACTGTACACCACCAAGCCAGAAGTCATCCCACATTCCTACATAAAAAGTAGACCACAACAAAGTAACAGGATTGCAGCAGTTCTCTGTGTGGCACTGGGGACAGGCAGAGGAGAAGGCATTTAAAGCATGAATAGCCCTGCATCAAAGTCAACTATCCCAACATGTGGACCAAAACATGTAAAGCACAAAACACATATAAGTAGTAACTATTTATACATGTTGGGCTTTAAGTGATCCAATTCTGTCCTACCTTCCTTTCCCAATCCCCCTCCTACACGTCCCCATTACACAACTGATGTGAAGGGGCAGTTACCTTTGAAATGATGTAGCAGAAGCTGCATTTTTTGCTCGTGTTCCTTTTGCTGAAGGGTCAGTCTCCGGTCACACTGCAATTTCAGATGTTCCAGTGTAGATTCCAACTCACGAACCACATTATCCCGTTCCAGAACTTTCATTTTAATTTCTTCATTCTGTAACTGTAGTTTCCGTTCAGCTTCTCGCAGATTAACCACCTAGCAAAGACATTTTTTTGATCTTTTAAGTGTGTTTTAGACAGACTAATAGACTAATTTACTTCTCTTAGGCTTCATAAAGATGAACTCCCTTAATCCCCATGGTATAACAAGGCAAATGCTTTGTAATATACCCACAAGATAACCTAACAGCCTTTTTAATTCGTTGAGATTCTGAATTGGTAACAACTTCATTTTAAATATAATGTTGCTCTACTCTAACAATCACCTCTCCATCATTTCTTAGACATGATCTTTGTAGTTTACATTTATAATCCTACAACTCCATTTCTCCAGTCTAAAAAGATATCAAGAATCTAAAGACTTCTGTAACATCTAGATAATTCTCATTTTTAACTCCAAAGTGAATGTTATAAATAAGTGACAGAATTTTTAAGCTATAGAGTTCAGTCTCAGATTGTACATTTAGTCCAGTGGGTTCCTGTCTGCACTGATATAAAGTAAAAACACTTCAGACAATATCTGTGTCACAGAACTTGTTAATAATGTAATGACATTCTCTCCAGAAAAATACTCATTTCTACAAAGAGTTCTTAAGACCAGAAAATCCACTGACCTTCACCTGGGTGCTTTGGGTTAAGAACCCTTGCTCTAAGAACACCACAGAAGAGTTATCTGTATCAAAGCCTCAGACAACATGCACCATATTTCTGCCCTCCACACACCCAGTGATGGGATGCACTTGCATCAATAATAGAAGCTTACTACTGAGGGTAATTATCCAAGAGAAGGCCTGTGTATCACATTTCCATTAATTTAGTCATCTTTGTTTCAATTGTCTAACAGAATTAGAACTTTATTTTAAAACTTCTGTGTTTCATTTTTCATCAACTGTCTGCTATTCCCTTAAACTGAATATATTTTTCAGAGAAAAGAGTTACCTACTTGTTTAACACTTCATAATATATATCTTAAGAGAAGACATTAGAGAAAAGACAGGTATAGTTTTCAATGCTGTGAAACATCTCTATCAGTAAGCTGTCAAATCTGTATAAAATATTTTAATTTATATTAAGCCCATCCAGGTTAATGCTAAAATCTATTACTATCTTTGTCACTGATGCACCATTTCACCTCCATTTCAATTCATAGGGTATAATGAGAAGGTACAGGTTACCCCTACCCTACAGCAATGAAGGAAAGGGAACCCAAACCTGGAGGGCCCTTGATTTTTCACGAATGCTGAGTAGGAACAATCAAATCTAGAAAACATACAACCAAGAAATATTGACTGAGGAATATAACTTAAATTCTTTGGTTTTTAAAACTATTCCCAAAAGCCCTTCTTTCAAAAGGCCCTTCAACTTTAAGAACCTCACAAAGATAGGCCTACATACTTGGATAAGTGCAAAGATTTCAGATGACAACATTCAGTGCTGTAAATTCTACATAAATGTGAGCTGTATAAGCATCTCAACCCCTCTTTATAAGAAAATCCTCCGTCCCTGAAAAACAAACCTTATTGAAATATCTGAAAAGAATAGCTCTAATCTCAACAGGACTCAGGCAGATTAGTTTTTCTAAGACATTTTCTTCACTATGAGAGAGATTTTGAAGTGACGCTCTGAGTGAGTTCTGGCGACTCTGGATATGTTCGTTCTTGTATTCAATTGCAGCTTCCAAAGCTTCAATCCCTTCTTCAAGTTGGAAAAGAACATGTTCTTCCTAGATATAATACAAAAGAAATCACTCATTTTGAATGAAACAGTATAACTTGGACTTTGTCATACACTAAGATCTTATTATGCTATTTGAGTCTAATGGACAGTACCATTCTTCTACTAAATTAAAAAAAATGTTTATTGAGTGCTTGCTGTGCTACACAATGCACTGTGTGTACACACACACACACAAACACACACACATATATATAACAAATAATCATTGAATCTTTGTAGTAAACCTTGGGTAGCAAAATGGAAGAGGAAGAAGGTTAGGTGAGTTATGAAACATCCCAAGGTCATAAGCAAATGCTGATCACGAAGGAATACACTTGAACAAAGCCTCAGCCCACAGGTTTGACAGTGTCATCATGTTATCTCCCTCCATGGCTCCTAAAGTGCATATTATGTGTCACTGAGATCTGGAGACCTCGGGGGTCCCTTCAAGGATCTATCAAAACGATATATTGCTAGGAAGGAAAGAGGAAATATATTAAAATAAGTTATTAAGAACTAGTAATCAGAGGAGAGTCTCTAGGGAAAAAACGCTGTGTAACATAAGAAAAAGTAGTGAGGATTTAAGGACATGAAACATTTCATAAGATTCCTAGGAGATGTCATTAGAGGGAAAGTGTAGGCACTAAAAATGGTGGCAGCAAAACCTTTTTTTCATATGCCAAAGAAGATTTCCTCTGTAGGAAAAAAAAATCTGATGAATTGCTGTCAGAAAACCTAGCCGTTCTCTGAATTAACCAAATAACATCTTATTTAGGGGACACAAATCTCTGGTAAGAAATTATTTTGGACGTGGTAAGACCTGGATATATATTTTTGTATCCCCGTACTTGTGGTGGAGGCCACTTCAACTTTAAGTTCCCTGAGGGCAGATGGTCTTGTCCATACTCACATCCTTATTGCCTAGCACAGTACATATTACATAGTTTAAACTCAGTACGTATCTGCTGAACAACTTAATGAAGGGAGAGGAGCAAAAAACATTTTCATATGTCTTGGGTATATGACCCAAGTATTTCTCTCCTCTCCTCCCCATAGCATTTCAAAGAAAAATAATGTTACTATTTCTAATCTCCCCAAAGAACAGTTAGAATGACTTCTGGAACTCCTTTTCTGGAATTCAGGGAAAAGGTAGGTAATAACCTATTCCAATGGGAGGCTGAATAATACTTACTTTTTTTAAAGCCATTTTATAAAATCTCCTGAAAGAGCCATTTTGGAAAAAAAAATGTTCAGCAGGCATTTTATTTCTTTGTGCAATTACTGAATTTGAAGATTTGATAATCACTCCATAAGGAAGAAAATAATATTCACCTTTTTAAGAAAAACAAACTTAAATCCTGAAAGGTACTTAGGTGAATAAGAAGAACCAGAAAATAAAAGTGAATAACCCAAGAAAATATTTGACTTTTGAATGCATACTATGATTATATTCTACCAAAAACAAATGTGGATAGTTTTCTGCATACAGGTCTTTTGTCTCCCTAGGTAGGTTTATTCCTAGGTATTTTATTCTTTTTGTTGCAATGGTAAATGGGAGTGTTTCCTTAACTACTCTTTCAGATTTTTCATCATTAGTGTATAGGAATGCAAGAAATTTCTGTGCATTAATTTTGTATCCTGCAACTTTACCAAATTCATTGATTAGCTCTAGTAGTTTTCTGGTGGCATCTTTAGGATTCTCTATGTATAGTATCATGTCATCTGCAAACAGGGACAGTTTTACTTCTTTTCCAATTTGTATTCCTTTTATTTCTTTTTCTTCTCTGATTGCCGTGGCTAGGACTTCCAAAACTATGTTGAATAACAGTGGTGAGAGGGGACATCCTTGTCTTGTTCCTGATCTTAGAGGAAACGGTTTCAGTTTTTCACCATTGAGAATGATGTTTGCTGTGGGTTTGTCATATATGGCCTTTATTATGTTGAGGCAGGTTCTCTCTATGCCCTCTTTCTGGAGAGTTTTTATCATAAATGGGTGTTGAATTTTGTCAAAAGCTTTTGCTGCATCTATTGAGATGATCATATGGTTTTTATTCTTCAATTTGCTGATATGAAGAAAACTATAAGACACTGATGAAAGAAATTAAAGATGATACAAACAGATGGAGAGATATACCATGTTCTTGGATTGGAAGAATCAACATTGTGAAAATGACTATACTACCCAAAGCAATCTACAGATTCAATGCAATCCCTATCAAATTACCACTGGCATTTTTTACAGAGCTAGAACAAAAAATCTTAAAATTTGTATGGAGACACAAAAGACCCCGAATAGCCAAAGCAGTCTTGAGGGAAAAAAAACAGAGCTGGAGGAATCAGACTCCCTGACTTCAGACTATACTACAAAGCTACAGTAATCAAGACAGTATGGTACTGGCACAAAAACAGAAATACAGATCAATGGAACAGGATAGAAAGCCCAGAGATAAACCCATGCACCTATGGTCAACTAATCTCTGACAAAGGAGTCAAGGATATACAATGGAGAAAAGACAGTCTCTTCAATAAGTGGTGCTGGGAAAACTGGACACCTACATGTAAAAGAATGAAATTAGAACACTCCCTAACACCATACACAAAAATAAACTCAAAGTAGATTAGACACCTAAATGTAAGTCCGGACACTATAAAACTCTTAGAGGAAAACATAGGAAGAACACCCTTTGACATAAATCACAGCAGGATCTTTTTTGATCCGCCTCCTAGAGTAATGGAAATAAAAACAAAAATAAACAAATGGGACCTAATCAAACTTAAAAGCTTTTGCAAAGCAAAGGAAACTACAAACAAGACAAAAAGACAACCCTCAGAATGGGAGAAAATATTTACAAATGAATCAACGGACAAAGGATTAATCTCCAAAATATATAAACAGCTCATGCAGTTCAATATTAAAAAAACAAACAACGCAATCTAAAAATGGGCAGAAGACCTAAATAGACATTTCTCCAAAGAAGACATATAGATGGCCAAGAGGCACATGAAAAGCTGCTCGATATCACTAATTATTAGAGAAATGTAAATCAAAACTACAATGAGGTATCACCTCACACCAGTTAGAATGGGCATCATCAGAAAATCTACAAACAACAAATGCTGGAGAGGCTGTGGAGAAAAGGGAACCCTCTTGCACTGTTGGTGGGAATGTAAATTGATACAGTCACTATGGAGAACAGTATGGAGGTTCCTTAAAAAACTAAAAATAGAATTACCATATGACCCAGTAATCCCACTACTGGGCATATACCCAGAGAAAACCATAATTCAAAAAGACATGTGCACCCCAGTGTTCATTGCAGCACTATTTACAGTAGCCAGGTCATGGAAGCAACCTAAATGTCCATCGACAGACGAATGGATAAAGAAGATGTGGTACGTATATACAATGGAATATTACTCACCCATTAAAAGGAACAAAATTGGGTTATTTGTAGAGACGTGGATGAATCTAGAGTCTGTTACACAGAGTGAAGTAAGTCAGAAAGAGAAAAGCAAATATCGTATATTAATGCATATATGTGGAACCTAGAAAAATGGTACAATGAACCAGTTTGCAGGGCAGAAATTGAGACACAGATGTAGAGAACAAATGTATGGACACCAATGGGGGGAAGCAGCAGGGGGTGGTGGTGGTGTGATAAATTGGGAGATTGGGATTGATATATATACACTAATATGTATAAAATGGATAACTAATAAGAACCTGCTGCATAAAAAAATAAATTAATTAAAAATTCAAAAAAAAAGAAAGGATTACCTAGTACACCTGAGCACAGTGAGCCCCATTATTTGTGAAAAAGACATAGTTCTGCTGATAACTCTTTCTCCTGCAAAGTAGTAAGTTCATGTTTTCTGCAAGCACAGGAGCTAATATTTATTGCCATAAAACTGACATTTTATAAGGCCTGTAAGTTAAAACAGTTTAGAAAGGTCACAAAAAAAAAACCAAAAAAATAAATGTGGAAAGAGTTTGCCTTTATGTAATGGCTGAGAACAATTTGGTACAAATTTAGTTTCTATAGTTTTGGATCTATGTTAGCGAAGCACTGAGATAATGTAAGGCAGCATATCTATAGAACCCTGAGGATAGCCTGCTCTAGTGAGGCTCCAGCATATATAAATATTTGTGGTTCCATCTAACCCAGCAAAAAGTTGTAGGTTGAGAAGATGAGGGGCAATGGGAAGCTGTCCCAGGATGAAGAATTTGCTACAACTCAAACCTTAGATTATCAAGAGTTGACTATGCTTTGTCACAGAGCACTGCTTTCCAAACATGCACCAGGGAGCTTGTAAAAATGCAGACTTCTAATTCAGCAGGTCTCGGTGGTGCCTGAGGCTCTGCATTTCTAACAGGCTCCCAGGTGATACTATTGCTGCTGGTACAGAGATCACACTGAGAGTAACAAGGATCTAAAGCAGTGGTCTCCAAACATCTTAGATCACAAATTTCCCATTAGTAAAAAACAAACATGACAAACAAAACCTTCTGAGCAAGCACTGCATGTATTTCTCTATAAACTATATGCATTTTCTAATGATAAAACATGAAATTTAAAAAAAAACCGAAAAAACATGAAATTGAAAATGTAAAAGATGAAATAAACATAGATATTCATATGTATTCTTCCTATACTCCACTTATTAGGTAACTGCTCTGCATTATTAGAAAAATAGAGTTCAAATATTTTATTTTTTCTAAATTTTAGTTTCTGGATTTTACCCCCCAAAAAAGGAGGTGATTTGTCTATATTAAATTGTTGGGTAATCCTGTACTAGTATAGTGATCTAAAATCTTTCTATCATTTCCCATGAAGTAATACAATTAGAAAAAATATTCTGATTTATTGTGGAAAGAAAAAATAATTCTGAGCAAGTTTAAAGACATCAAAACAGCAAACCATTCCACCTAGATTTTACTGATGTCTTGTGTCACAGCAGAATCTCATGTTCGTGATCATCTGCTACTGGAGGTCTATTTAGTACTACCAATCTCGGCGTGAAAACAGTGGTGAGAGCAGAGCCCATTTCAGAGCTACACTAAGAAGAACCAACCACGTGGAAGCAGGGTGCACAGACGCTCACAGGACTAAATGGAACCCCACCAGTTGTAGGCGGCTCACCCTTCCCTCAAACAAATCCAGGGTGGCTGCCAAACAAGTACCATGCATTGTGCTGCATTTTCACCACAAAACACTACATAATGTTTTTAGTTACAGAATTCCTCATGAAATAGAAACTTAAATGTTTCTTGAAGATAAGAATTGACCCTCTAGAAATGCAGATGGCCAACAGGCAAATGAGAAGATACTCAACATTGCTAATCATCAGGGAAATGCAAATCAAAACCACAATGTGATACCACCTCACACCTGTCAGAATGGCTATCATCAAAAAGAACACAAATAACAAATGTTGGTGAGGATGTGGAGAAAAGGGAATCCTCATACACTGTTGGTGGGAATGTAAATTGGTGCACAGTGGAAAACAGTATGGAGGTTTCCCAAAAAACTAAAAATAGAACTACTATATGACCCAGCAATTCCACTCCTGGGTACATATCCAGAAAAAAAAAAACACCCACTAATTAGAAAAGACACATGCACCCCATTGTTCACAGCAGCATTATTTACAACTGCCAAGACACAGAAGCAACCTAAGTGTCCATCAACAGACGAATGGATAAAGAAGAATTGGTACATATACACAATGGAATACTACTCAGCCATAAAAAAGAACAAAATTTTGCCATTTGCAGCAACATGGATGGACTTGGAGGGCATTATGCTAAGTGAAATAAGTCAGAGAAAGACAAATGCTATATCAGTTATAGGCAAAATCTAAAAATTACAACAAACTAGTGAATATAACAAAAAAGAAGCAGACTCACAGATATAGAGAACAAAATAGTGGTTACCAGTGTGGGGGGAGGGGCATTATAGGGGTGGGAGTATGGGAGGTACAAACTATTGGGAGTAAGACAGGCTACAAGGATGTATTGTACAACACAGGGAATATAGACAATATTTTGTAATAATTCTAAATGGAGTGTAACCTTAACAATTGTACAAAAAAATTAAAATTAAAAAAGAATGGCCACTCTACCCCTCTGCAAACATAATTTGCTCATTCCCATCTCTATGCCTTATTTAACAGTGTTCTATCTAAAATGGCCTTCTTTCTTATATCTATCAATATATACCATGTTTTTCATAATCCAGCTCAAGATTCTGATCTAACAAGGCTGCCTTAACTGAATCTTCCCCCAAATGATCACTGCATTGTTTTGTATAAATAATGTAATAAGTATAGCTTTATTACATTATCTATAACTTGCTTTTTTATGTTCTTCAGGGTTTAGAGTTTTCTCATCTTTCTATCTGTCTCCTCAGATGTAGTATGAATTCCTCAAGAGAAGCATAATGTTTTCTCCTGCTTTTTTTTTCTCCCATAGGGCCCAGTAACTGTCCTGGGCAGGCAAGAATTCCTTAAATCCTATGTTTTGCTGAATCTAAGGCTCTCAGACCTTCACATCTGTAGGCCTGGGGCTCCAATTTAACAGCCTCAGGAGGACAACCTCATTCTGTGATCCTTGGCAAAGCTACCCCAATTAAGTTATAAAATAGGGCAGTAGAAGCTTATAATGTCACATAGCCCCCAGTCAAGGTTGTCTTCAATTTCTTTCATCAACTCAATGAACAATAATGTCATGAAATCCTTTCCCCTGTTCCTTCTTAACCAGCCCCTTTCACTTCTTGTCACACTTGCTCCAATCTAAAACACTACAAGATACATGATTCGCAGCCACTTACTTTCTCTCAGCAGTTTTCCCTTACTTTGGACATCAACTATAAATATTTGCAGAGAAAATCCAGGCTCAAAAGTTCATCTTTGGGGCTCCCCTGGTGGCGCAGTGGTTAAGAATCCACCTGTCAATGCAGGGGACACGGGTTCGAGCCCTGGTCCAGGAAGATCCCACATGCCGCGGAGCAGCTGAGCCCGTGCACCACAACTACTGAGCCCGCGAACCTAGAGCCCGTGCTCCACAACAAGAGAAGCCACTGCAATGAGAAGCCCGAGCACTGCAATGAAGAGGAGCCCCCGCTTGCTGCAACTAGAGAAAGCCTGCACACAGCAACAAAGACTCAATGCAGCCAAAAATAAATTAAAAAAAAAAAAAAAGTTCATCTTTGTCTGATAAAGTAATAAGGTATGGACACCACTGCCAACTGAAGTAAAATTTTGAAAAGACAAAGTCTGGGACAGTTTGCTAGCCAACAAATGAAACATCTTTTACATAGTTAAAAAAAATAAAGGTGAGAGAAGCCATATCCTCCCCTAAATGAAAAATCCTAAAAGGTGTTTTTTGTTTGTTTTTTGGGGTTTTTTTGCGGTACGCGGGCCTCTCACTGTTGTGGCCTCTCCCGTTGCAGAGCACAGGCTCCGGACGCGCAGGCTCAGCGGCCATGGCTCACAGGCTCAGCCGCTCTGCGGCATGTGGGATTCTCCCGGACCAGGGCACGAACCCGTGTCCCCCTGCATCGGCAGGTGGACTCTCAACCACTGCGCCACCAGGGAAGCCCCTAAAAGGTGTTTTTATTGGGGTTTGAGTTTTATGCATCTACTTGGCTAGGACTTAGAGTGGAACATGCTCCCATACTTTCTGAAAGAATTAACCCTTAATGCCCTAGACATCTGTTATATGTGATGAATTACCAAGTATCATTCAAGAAAGATACATAGAGAGAAGACAGGTGCCCTCTTTGGAAGAAATGAAAAAAAGTGTCCCTCAAATCTTTTTCTTTGTTCTGTGATTTCAGATGAGAAACCCCAGCTGAGAAAGACCATACTCAAAAGAAACGTTAGTCTCCCAGTCCCTGGCAATGCCTGGAAGGGGCCACGTTCATGGACCTCTACGAGAGGACATCACAGTTTCTAGTCAAGCATGCCTCATGGCACCAAACAGGTGACAGGCAGACTCATTACATCTGACAAAAGTCTCAAGGAAACAAAGTTGACCAGATTTGTCATTTTTATGTTTAAGTAACAAAAATGGAGGAAATCATCCAAGTGATCCATCATACAGTACTTCTAGTTCCAAAGCATACTGACTTACTTCAGGTGATAACACACTACCATTTTTAAGTTTCTCATCCACGCTGTTTCTTCTTCTCTGTAGCTGATCCTTTTCTTTCTGGAGGGCTTGAACTTGTTCTGAAATCTTTATTTTCTCCTCAGCTGTGCTGTTCTGGAGCTGCACATTCTTTTCAGACAACTCTTGGTCCAACAAGCTCAGGCGAGTTGATATTTTCAAACTATCTGTGTTTAAAGCCTAAAAAGACAATCAACCAGACACCCCAAGACCAGTTATTAGAAATCCAGGCTGTAAATAAATTAGGAAAAACACATAGAAAATTACTAAGTGAACATATTTTTAGCTTTTACATTATTGTTTTCTCCCATGGAGTTTTTTGGGGGACTGGGGAGCTTCATTTTCTAAAATCTTAAGTTGAATGCCTTTTTTAAAAAAGTGGAGATTTTTCAAACACTGAATTTATTACTAAGTATTGCTTGGCCAAACCAGACTATACAACACAGGTTTGAGAGGCAGTATTTTTCTTTTGTATTATTTTCCAAATTAAACTTTTCTTTCTTGGCCTGTTACATAGTAGAATTAATTATGCTAACATTTCCTAGAGGTTGACATTTGGTTTGTTGTTATTTAAACATACAATTTGTTTCTATTCTTATTTCATTCCGGTCAAAATTATGGCCAGTTAGATTTACGGTGATCTTCATTATGACCAATTTAAGATAATCTTAAAAAGAGTTTTTCGTCAAAGTAATTATATGTATATACTGCCATAAGGTTTAATAATGTTTTTAAAAAGCAGTCCCCTACCTGACCCTTTCCCCTGAGTCCTGCTCCCTAGAAACAACCATCTTTAACCTTTTAAGCTATTTCTTTTGGTGTTTACGTCCATGTTCCTAAATAACATTACCAATTTTAGATACTGTCTGCTGATTATCTATTACGGAAGACAAGGATTTAGCACTCCTATGCCTCCTTTTCTGTACTTCCCCTCCCTCTATTCTCCCAACATAAGTTGTATTACAGTTTTTAGATAAACCAATGGTCAGTTCACATGATTTTCTGAATACATGAACATTTTGCCTGGAGCCTCCATCCTCCTGCTCCAAACTGGACTGGTTGTTCCTGGACTTCCTTTGGTATTATCCTGAAATTTTCCAGTTAGATCACATTTGCAGGATCCTGAGTCTTCCTTTATCATAGCTTGCATGCTCACTTTTAAGGAGCACATCCTTTAGCAGTTTCCTGAGACAGGTTAGGTAGTAGATAATTTTTTTCACTGGAAAATGTCCTTATTCTATCTTCCCATTTGATTGATGGTTAGGCTAAAAAGAGAATGCTTGTTTGGAAACCATTTTCCTTATGAGTTTTAAGACTGCTTCAGGTCTTCTAACTTCTAATGAAGAGGGTTGAGAAGTCTAATGCCATTCTGACTCTCAAGATTTTCAAGTGACTAGTCTTCTATCTGGAAGCTTTCAGGATATATTTTTTCCCCTCGTGTACTCAAAACTTCACAATGATATGCTTTTAGTACTCTTTGCTGTGCCTTTGATAAGCTATTTCAACCCAGAGTCTTATATCTTCAGTGCTGACAAATTTTTTTGTATTATGTCTTTGATAATTTCCTCTTCTCCTGTTTTCTCTGTTGTATCTTTCTGGAATTCCTGTTACTTGGATGATGGACTTTGTGGGTTTACCTGCCAATTAAATTTTATTCCTCCTAATTTCTATTTATCTTTTTATTTACTTTCTGAGATACTTCCTTAACATTATCGTCCAATCCTTTTAATTTCCAAAAGTTCTTTCATGTTTTTTATAGCCTGCAACTCTTGCTTTATGGATAGAGTATCATCTTTTACCACCTTGAAGATACTAAGGTTTTTTAAGAAGTTTTTTTAGCTCCTTGCTCTATCTCTAATTTGATAGATCTGAGCTTCTTTTTTTATTTTCCTTTTGTTTTGGCCTCTGTCCCTAATGTTAGTAGCATTCCTGAAATATACGTCATACTTAAGAGTCAGGTATTAAAATCCTGATAAACTGTTGTGAGCAAGATGTGTCACAATAGGATATATCTGGGATCTGGCCACTTAGTTGGGGGCTCCCAAATGTAAATTTTTTAAGGTCTTTTTTTCTGGGACTGTTTCAGAAAAATCCACCAATCTCCTGCTGGGAAGTGTAAGTCTGGCTGCCAGCATTTTGGGATCCAAGTAGGGGTTAGGAAATGGATATCTCAGGATTCAGACTTTCATTCATTCCCTGTTTATTTTGACTTACCCCGGCCCTCTGCTGTACCTGGTTCAATCTTCAGAAAATAAATCATCTAGTCCCAGAATCAGAAAAGGATGCTTTCCCGACTATGCCCTGTTTTCATCCTTAGGCCTCACTCCTGCCATCTAAAAATCATGGTCCCTTCATTTCTGAGTCTTTTTCATGTTTATGTGAATTATATCTCATAAAGCTGTTATTTAAAAAAAAAAAGCTAAAGTTAAAGGCTTGGCTCTCATTGATGTCCCTCTTCTAGACATTTGGATTTCAGCTTCTTCTGTTCTGCTAAGTCAGTAACCACTTATCTATCTGCTTTCCATCTTACATTTTTTGGTAACCTTTTGTCCTCTGTTGTCTCCCCTACTGTTTTTTCCCTTTATGGGTTTATAGTTTTTTTGAGTAATAGCTTTACTAAAATATAGCTCACGTACCATACAATTCACCTATTTAAAGTGTATAATTAGATGGTTTTTAGTATATTCTCAAAGTTGTGCAACCATCACCAGAATCAATATTAGAACATTTCATCAGCCCCAAAAAAGAAACCCCACGCCCACTAGCAGTCATTCCATTTCCTCACCAAGCCCCCACCCAGTCCTAAGTAACCAGTATTCTACTTTCTGTCTCTATGGAACTGCCTACTGTGACTGGCTTCTTTCACTTAACATAACGTTTTCAGGGTTCAACCATGTTGTAGAATGTATCAGTGCTTCATTCCTTTCTATTGCTGAATAATATCCCATTATTTCATTTATATATTGTCCCAAATGAAGGACATTTGGGTTGTTTTCATTTTTTGACTATTATGAATAATGCTGTTATGAACATTCATGTACAAGTTTTTCTGTGCACGTATGTCTTCACTTGTCTTGGATATACACCTAGGAGTGGAATTGCTAGGTCATTTGGTAATTCTATGTTTAACCTTTTGAGGAACTACAAGATAGTTATCCAAAGCAACTGCACCATTTTACAATCCCACCAGCAGTGTGTGAGAGTTCCAATTCCTTCATATCCTCACTAACACTTATTATCTATTTTTCTGATTATAGCCATCCTAGTGGGTGTGAAGCAGTATCTCATTTAAATTTTAGTTTGCATTTACCTGACAGCTAATGATGTTAAGCATCTTTTCATGTGCTTATTGGACATTTGTATAACTTCTTTGAAGAAATTTCTATTATATCCTTTGCCCATTTTTTAATTGGGTTGTCTTTTTATTATTGAGTTGTTAGAGTTTTTTATCTATTCTAGATACAAGTCCTTTATCAGACATATGATTTGCAAATATCTTCTCCCATTCTGTGGGTTATCTTTTCACTTTCTGGATAACGTCCTTTGCATCACAAACATTTTAAATTTTGATGAAGTCCAATTTATCTAATGTTTCTTTTGTTGCTTGTGCTTTAGGTGAAATATCCAAGAAACCATTGCTTAACCCAAGGTCACAAAGAGTTATACCTATGTTTTCTTCTAAGACTTTTATAGTTTTAGCACTTACATCTAGGTCTTTGATTCATTTTGAGTTAAATCTCTATATGTTATGAATATAGGCTTTTTTATATCATGTTTCTTGTCTGAAATGCATATGATCGCATCTTATGGTATTTCTTAAATACTGAAAAAATATGTAATATTCTTATGACTTTTGTTTTAAAAGGAACCCAGAAATATGTCTCAAGTTTCTCTTCTGTTTTATTAAAACAATCTTCAAAGAATCAATTTTGCTATGATTTCCTGTGGGTTTCCTTTATTTGCACTCTCTGCTTACCTCAGTATGTTCTGACTTCCTAAATACCACATCTTGTTGAAACTAGAAAACCGCTATTTTCTTTTCTTTTTTCTCCCTGTATCATGAAGTAAATGTATTTCAGAAATAAGAGTCTCCTTCTTATTCCTTTTTTATTTTTTTCCTCTTTTTTCTTTTGTGATACAGAACATACCGTAAAGGTCCCAGGTATTTTCTTCTATTTATTCACTTGATACGTTAATTTGTTAACCTCCTTTGCTGTCATTTACATGGGTCTTTTTCGGGGGTCGCAGCTTTTAAAACCTGACCCTGACAGCCAATGTAAACAAGCTACCTGGATGTAGCACCAGCAACTAGGCTGGTTGGAGGGGCTGCCCCTACCCCAATGTCCAACAGCCTGCTGCTAAAAGCTATTTCAACATGTTTGGGGAACAGAGGACACAGCAGAGGTTAAGTGCAGGTCCCCATGCCTGTCCACCTGCTATACTGAGGTGGAGAAGTTAAGAACATGTCACCATCACCTCAGATCCCAGTGGTCTAGATGCTGGATGACAGGCAGGTTTAATAAAGGGCAGGTCACTGATCTCTCTGTTCCATGACTCAATATTATAGACTGACCCCAGACTCAAGGCCAGCTGGAGGCAAAGGTTTGCGTAGACAGTCTCTGTCAAGTCTGGGGCAAGCTAGCTTCATTTTTAGATGCTATTGTTGCTACTGCTACAATATCTAATATATATATACATATATCCAAAAAAGCTTCTCCTGGGTCCTTCTACTTCCTCCACAATCATTCCTTTTTCAAAACCTGAAATTGGGCTTCCCTGGTGGCACAGTGGTTGAGAGTCCGCCTGTCGATGCAGGGGACATGGGTTCGTGCCCCGGTCCAGGAGGATCCCACATGCCACGGAGCAGCTCGGCCCGTGAGCCATGGCCGCTGAGCCTGCGCGTCCGGAGCCTGTGCTCCGCAATGGGAGAGGCCACAACAGTGAGAGGCCCGCGTACCAAAAAAAAGTAAAAAAACAAACAAACAAACAAAACCCTGAAATTGAGGTGAAGTCCTTCATAAAACCACTTCTTTGACTGGCTCAGAGAACCCAAGTCCTACAACAAAATTTTTTATAAAGATACCCTTGTCTTTTTTTTTTTTTTTAAACTTTATTTATTTATTCATTAAAAAAATATTTTTTGGCTGCATTGGGTCTTCATTGTTGTGCATGGGCTTTCTTTAGTTGCAGCGAGTGGAGGCTACTCTTCGTTGCAGTGTGCGGGCTTCTCATTGCGGTGGCTTCTCTTGTTGCGGAGCACGGGCTCTAGATGCGCGGGCTTCAGTAGTTGTGGCACGTGGGCTCAGTAGTTGTGGCTCACGGGCTCTAGAGCACAGGCTCAGTAGTTGTGGTGCACGGGCTTAGCTGCTTGAGGCATGTGGGATCTTCCCAGACCAGGGATTGAACCCATGTCCCCTGCATTGGCAGGTGGATTCTTAACCACTGTGCCACCAGGGAAGTCTCCCTTGTCTTTATAATTAGAAAAATAAACAAATCTTCATTATACAAAATCTTCTTTCTTTTATAGGAAACCTGCAAACCCCTAACTGTGAGTAGTAAGTGATAGATCGTTTTCAAGTCTATTCTTCCAAATTATCAATGTTCACTCTACAGCATCAAATGGTACAATTTATTTTTAAAATATCCACTAAGGGGGCTTCCCTGGTGGCACAGTGGCTGACAGTCCTCCTGCCAATGCAGGGGACACAGGTTCATGCCCCGGTCCGGGAAGATCCCACATGCCGCGGAGCAGCTAGGCCCGTGAGCCATGGCCGCTGAGCCTGCGCGTCTGGAGCCTGTGCTCCACAACGGGAGAGGCCACAACAGTGAGAGGCCCGTGTACCGCAAAATAAATAAATAAATAAATAAAATATCCACTAAGGTTAATAATAGAGGCTGCCAGGGGAAATGGTGAATTATTGCTTAATGGTTAGAGTTTCTGTTTGAGGCAATAAAAAGTTTGGAAATAGACAACAGTGATGGTTGTGCCACACTGTAAATGTAATTAATGCCGCTGAACTGTACACTTTAAAATGGTCACAATGGTAAATTTTATGTTATGTATAATATACTACAATTTTTAAAATACCCCCCAAAAGTTAATAATAAGTAAATCATACTTGGTAGAACATTGAACATTTTACTTCAAAATAGATTTTAGTGATAGTCATTAAATAAGCACTAATAAGCGAAATACACTGAAAACCAGAAAAGTTTTCTGTTGGTTTCTAACTTTACAGTGGTATGATTTACTTCATAGAGAAAAATAAATCCAGTTTATAAGGCTTACAACCAGAATCAAAGAGCATATTAAATAGAATACCTGACTAGATCGTAACTTCTTATTTTCCAGATGGCTCTTCTCCTGTAACAGGGCCTCCTTCTTACAAACTATGGCCTCCCGTTTCTTTAAGTCTTCTTCCAGCTCCTCTAATTCTTGGCGTTGGTTCAGAACTTTCTCTACTTCTTCATCTAACCATTTCTTTTGCTCATCCAATTTCTACATAAAAATTCCAAAGAAATGTTATAATTTGTTTTTCTTTACCATAAAATTTATATGGTAATAATATAGCTTCAGATTGACTAAAACACCTTAAATGAACATTTAAAAACTATCTGGAATACCTTAAATGAACAGTGAGAATAGTAAAATAGTGTCTGTCCAAAACTGTCAAGAAATAAGTGGTTCTAAGCTAACATCTTTCTGTGTTGTTTTATAAGGAATTAAAATTTATTCCACAAATATGTTTTGAGTCTGAGATTTTTCAGGCTGATAGTTTTCTTTATATTGAGAGTTAGTTCTGAGAACATGCTGGAAATCTTCTCTGTTACAGAGGTGCACACCTCTCTCACAGCACTAATACTACTGATTGTTCTATAGTCTTTCTCCCCTACTTGAGCTCCTTGACTGATTGCAGTGATAGTGCTTTTTGCCTCTCTAGCCCCAGTGCCTGCTCTACTGCCTGGCCCATGATTGGCTTTCAATAAAATGTTAAATGAATTCTTGATTCAATCAATCAACTAATGAGGTGAATAAATGAATACGCATTGTGGAAGACATAGATAATGGAGCATGGAAATCCACTCTGCATTGCAGCCTGTCAACATCAAATAATTACAAAATAAAATAAATTGAGCTGTAAAGATTTCCAAAACAAACATCTCAGTATTCTCTTCAGTTAAGGATACCCAGAAATAAGTACAAACAAAAATGTGAATGGAATGACTGTCCAAGATGAACTCTACCAAGTGCCCATCTGCACTGGGACATAGTAATGAAGCAATGCCACCTAAATAATAAATAATAAGAAAACAAATCAATATAGAACTATTTTCCAGTTCTTCTCAAACTTGATAAAAACTGTCCCTAGAAATCTATATTAAGACAGTGAATATGCATGAGAAAAAGAGAGCAAAGTGGCCAAGGCAAAGCAGGTCCAGAGCTATGTAGTTTTCCATCCAGACCTAGATAGTATGGTCCTAAAAGCAACAGCACATCTAAATAATATTGAGGCCTAAAATAGCAGCTCTACAATTATTAGGAACAGGAAGCATATCCCAGAGCAACTACAGAAATACTTTAGTTTTGTTATATCCAGCTATACCTTAGAAACTCCATATATGAGACCCTATGAAGACTAGCAATTAACTTAAAACATATTCTACAAACATTTCTTGACTGTGAGTGGGGTTTGAAAGATGAATAACAGATATTCTGTAAGCTCCATTCCAACAGGAAAGAAACCAAAAAATTATGATGGTTGATAATAAATGTTGTATACAGCAAACTCCTAGGTACTATGTATACAAAAATGGAAGGAGGGATCGCTTCTGTCTGAGAAATGGAAGAAATGTCAGTGCCAGCCTCACAGAGTAGGCAATATTTTAGCTGTGCTTTGAAGAATGGGTAGGAGTCTGCTAACATAATACAGGTTTTTTTAGGGAAATAATAATAAATGAATGGATTTTTCTGCATTTGATATAATAAAGGGTATGATTTGTGTAATTCACTGTATCTTAGTAAGTTTTCTGAAAATTTCTTATTTTGTCTTTTCTTATAATAAATATTCCTACCACACAGTTCCAATTTTAAATACTCTCTTCTTATAAGAGAGCTTCATATCAAATCCATGTCCTATTAAAAGGTCTTTGGATAGTCATATTGATTAATATATAATCTTGTTCTTGTTTAGAGTCAAATTCTGGAAAATGTTGTTTTACAACATTAAAAAGCATGAAGGTTTTTGTTTGTTTGTTTTATTATTATTTTTAACCCGACATAATCAGTGCAAGCTGTGGGAATCTATTATTGTATTCATTTAAAATTTAGATCCTTAACATTTTGAAAAGCAGGTCTAACTATTCTATGCATTCCTACCTCACCTACTCCCCCACATACCCTTCCACCCAGAAATATTACCAAGCACGTCAGAGAGAGAGCTCTTCAACTAATTTCTAAAATACACTAGTAAAATAACTGAGAATACATTCATGTCCTAAATTTTACTATTAAAATATATAAGGTTTAAGAAGAGAGAGCAAATAAATTTTTCAGAATTAAGGTGATGTATTTGCATTTGAGGGTAATTACAGTTTTAAGCACAGTAATCTTTAAGACTTTTAGAACTGCCATTTCTAATTTATATAAAATTAAAATTTTGTTTCTTTGAACTTTGATATTAATCTATGGATTTCATTTTTTAAATGTGGCACTAAAACAATAGCTTTTTAATATATTATATATGGTGCATATACGATTTGGTTGTGCTTGAGTAGAGATCTCTTATCTTTAGAAATGTATGTTTCCAGGTGACTAAACCAGTCTTGACATGGGAATAAATACAATCTAGTTTTCATGTTTACATTCCACAACATTCAGATAAACCCATTTCTACTGAAATAAGAATACAGCACATTTCCGGATGGGAAATTAATTTTTTAATAACACAAAAAATTCAGAAGAAATATTAGAAATTTTGTACTTGAGTGGCAAAGTCTAGTGTTTTAAGATTTTATTCAGAGTCCACCACTTTTTACCCCTACTTAGACAATCATCAAATTGAAGAGAAACCAGGAAACACTAAATAGAATCGACAAACCTGGAGTTGGTCTATACTTCCAAACGAACCTTTTCTCCTTTTCATCTTAAATGCATCAAGGTCCTCAGCTTTCAGTTTTAGACCTTCTCGCTGTTCTGTTTTTAACTGTAGTTCCTATAGATAACAGGAATTGAAAACACCTTATTGTTTTTACTACATGGTCATCATTAAATATTTATGCAGATAATCATTTTAACATTTACTTTCTTAGTTGCAAAAAGAAAGAAAACGAGTAGATGAAGGTCCATTTAAGAAGAAAATAATGTTAGCCCCTCATTCAAGCAATAAAATCTCACAGTAAAAATCAGGATTTACTAGAAAAACTAGGTATTTTTTTTCATTCTTTGCCAGTGTTACAAATTTGCATAACAGGGATAAGAGTATGAAAATTATAAATCTGCTCTTTTCTTCTGCCTTTCTGAGTTCATTACCTTCTGTTAGTCCACCCAAGGCACCCATCTGCAATGGGGATATTAGAATTTATCACAGGAGAAATGTAAAAAGAAAAGTTATATTCAGTTTCCAGCATTCAAAAATCAGATTTTGCAGCATGAAAATAGTCTTTCAAGATTGATCATGGTCCTCTGAAGAGTATTTTCCAAATTCCTTTAGTTTCCATTCACATCTTAAGAGTCAAGTCAAGCGGGCCCTTGTGTTCTACTGGGGTTTAGAGACGATGTTGCCATCCACCACCAAAGCTTAGCAGGAATCAGGAAGGAGGCCATGAACTCAAAGTGAACTGGTCCACACTGCTATTTCTTACTGGTCCATGATGGATAAGTACAGAAATTAAAAGTAAGTGTTTAGAACCTTTTACAAAAATTTAACAGAATAATTTTATGTCTGTTGAATCTAATAATTAAAAGATAGACTTGTATATTTTAGTTTTTATTTCATTTTTCTACTAGTTCTTGTTTTACAAAGGTATTGGGCTGTGACAAATTAATAATAAAATGAAACTTGTATCTTTTCCACAGGTAATTTCAGAAGTACTGATAAAAAGGAAGTAAAAGGGAAGTCTACCATTTTCCAGCCCTGGAAATGGCAGAAAGGAGAAAAGAGACAGTAAAAAAGATGTGTGTCCCAATTTTCTTCTCTCTGAGTTTTGGCCCAGGAAGGGGATGATAAATAAAGGTATCACTGAGAGCAGACGGAGAAAATGAGGACTGCAGCGCAGAGGCCTCACACACACATGGATCTGCCCAGTCTTGCTGAAAGAACAGAGAAGTACGATCAGGAAACAGAGACTAATTGGACTCCTTGGCCTCAGATGATGAGGATCCTGAGTTGAGAACAAATAGGGGTCAGTTATTGTGGGGAATTGACCCCAAAACTGAAGGTGAGGACAGGCCACTGGGCTAGCAAGCTAGATGGAAGATCTAATAGTCTCAACAGGGATTTATAATGCCATTAGGAGATGAGATGAAGCCAAAGCATCTCCAGGCTCTAAGCTGAAAGTGAGACCAATCTATGAATTATACTGGCTTCACATCAAGTGCCAGCAGGGAAAGGTGAACAAGAGAGAGCAGATTCCAGCCAGTCACATCCAAGGACCAAATGAAACTCAGAAAGTCCCTTCCCCCTCAACACCATGTGATGCAATAAAGCTACACACCAGAACACCACATATACCAGACTCTATCTTTGAGAATCATGGGGAGGAAGAGGCCAAGAGACTGAATATTCTTATTCAAGAGAACTGAGAATTATTTGAAGGAAATGTTTAAACTATCAGAATAAGGTTTGGACAGACTGGTTATTTGGTTAGTTCCCATGATATTTCCAGAAATTCTCGTGACATGGTTTGGGCAGGGCAGGGTGGGAGGGGTGTCATAAGGAACACAGGTCTGTTATAGACTAGATAAAGAAATTTTCTATGCCCACTTGAGTTGAATTATGAGTGCATTTGGACCCTGTTATATTTACTACCAATTAATTTTTCATGCTTCCCTAGCTCTAGTTCAGTTATAATTTAGCCCCTGTCACAGTCACAGCAACTTCAGGATGCTGAAATAAAGGCACCTTATACTGGAGCTGACTGCCTACTATTCCTATTCTTCTACAAATGCTTTGAAAGTGTACTGCAGGTGGTCTAATCCCCTCTTTTGCATGTTGCTCTAGACATTATTACCTTTACCTTATATTGTAATCTCTATTATAATAGTAAAATAACTGTCTACCAGGTACTGTGCTACGCTTTTTACATCTATTTAATTATCCCATTTAATCCTCACAATAACCCTATGGAACAGATACCATTATAAATCCCATTTTATAGATGAGGAAATTGGTGCTTAGAGAAGTAAAAAGCCCAGGTCACATTTCAGGGGTTCCCATACCTTTCCTTTATAGCTCATCCATAGTCTTCAGTTAAGAACTGAAGAACCTATGCAGAAGAGCATGGAGAACCTATGCAGAAGTCATAGTATTCTCTGGAAATGGTTTAGTCAAGTGAAAAATGGAATGTTAGACAGTTAGCTCCAAACAGAAGACAAGATATCCCTTAGGACTCTGAGCAGGCTTTGTTTTTGCATGAAGTAGTAGAAACTTCAATATATCTTTGGGGCAGACTGTTCCTTTTTCTGGAATACTCATTCTCCCCTTAAATGGGTCATATTTCCCTAGAATGAGAGAAGGAACAAAATTACCCTAGATAAGAATGTAAAAACTTTAAGTTACAGGCAGAGTTGCATTTCAGCAGACTATGCATTCTGCTCAAAAGTATTTTTCTTTTCCCTAAACATAGATTTAGAGAGTGCTATGTCTTGTTGCTTTAAGCCAGCGTTCATGAGAGATGAGAAGCTGAGACCCAAAGACCACAGGACTGACAGGCAGGCCTGATCCTCACACTGGAGGAAGGACAGGAACGAACAGACTAGGCTGTTGTCAGTGAAATGAGAATTGAACAGATTCAAGATATTTAGAAGACTCAATTTATAGGGCTTTGTGATTCATTGGATATGCGTAATGAGGAAGAGGACAGAGTCAAGGATGACTGCTAAATTTCTAGCTTACCCAACTGAATACATTGAAATGTCATGGAAAGTACAATGGAAAACTATATTTTCTCCCCCATGAAGGGAGCAGGGAGGAGGAATCGTGGCGAGGTAGGTAAGGGGATTCATCTATAAGACAACCTAATAAAGATGTCAATGGCTGGATATATGAATCCAGAGCTCAAATGGCAAATCTGGTACTAAGGATTAAATCTGGGAGTTGTCAGAGTTAAACTGCAGTCATGGAAAAAGACAAGGTGAGAGGTCACCCAGGACAGAGTATGGAAGATACGAGGGCATAGGCTAGAGCCCTGAGTAATTTCCATAGGTAGGAAATGATAGTGTAGGATAAGCTAGCAAAGACAAAGAACAAGCAATCAGAGAAGAAAAAACAAGGTGAGTATAATTTCACAAAGGCAAAGGGGGAAATATTTCAAGATGGAGGGAGTGGTGAACTATGGTGGATGCAGCTGAGGTGTGACAGAGAGAGCACTAGTGAACTTCTCAAGAGCTTTGAAGTGAACGGTACAGCCAAGACCCAGAAACCAGACTGGAGAGGAGAAGAGAACAAATGAAAGGAAAGGAAACAGAATCAAATATAGTAAACTTTTCCAAGAAGTTTGGTTAAAAAGGGGAGAAGTGAGAGAGAGAAGTATAAAGTTGAAGGAGAATAATTTTAGGATGAGAAAAGTCTAAGATGTTTAAAGAAAGAATCTAGGAGAAAAGGAAAAGATGAAAATACAGGAAGAGAAAAAGACAAATGAGATAAAGCACATAAGTGCTTAGCACAGTACTGACTGAAGACAAATAATAAATATTATTTACTGCTATAATAATGATTATTACCATTATTATTTAGAATGAGTAACTCAAGGAAATTAAGAAAGCAATTCCATTTATAATAACATCTAAAATAATAAAATATCTGGGAATAAATTTAACCAAGGAGGTAAAAGACTAGTACACTAAAAATTATAAAACATTCTGAAAGAAATTAAAGAAGATTTAAATAAATGAAAAGATGCCCCATCCTCATGGACAGGAAAACTTAATATTGTCATGATGCCAATACTACACTAAGAGATCTACATAGTCAACACAATCCATATCAAAAGTCCAATGGCCGCGGGCTTCCCTGGTGGCGCAGTGGTTGAGAGTCCGCCTGCCAATGCGGGGGACACGGGTTCGTGCCCCAGTCTGGGCGGATCCCACATGCCACGGAGCGGCTGGGCCTGTGAGCCATGGCCACTGAGCCTGCGCATCCGGAGCCTGTGCTCCGCAACGGGAGAGGCCACAACAGTGAAAGGCCTGTGTACCGCAAAAAAAAAAAAAAAAAAAAATCCAATGGCTGGGACTTCCCTGGTGGTCCAGTGGTAAAGAATCTGCTTTCCAATGCAGGGGACTTGCGTTCAATCCCTGGTCAGGGAACTAAGATCCCACATGCCGCAGGGCAACTAAGCCCACGCACCACAACTACTGAGCTTGCGCGCCTCAATGAGAGAGCCTGTGTGCTGCATACTACAGAGCCCACGCACCCTGGAGCCCACGCACCACAACTAGAGAGAAAACCTGCATGCCACAACTAGAGAGAAGCCCACATACCACAACTAGAAAGAAGCCACTGTGCCACAACAAAGAGCCTGCACCACAACGAAAGATCCTGCATGCCTCAACTAAGGCCAGATGCAGCCAAAAAAATAAAGAAAATAAACAAATTTTTAAAAAGTGGATCTACAGAGAAAAACCCAAGAACAGATCGTCGTAAAAGGAATAATTTGAAAATAAAAATTTGCTGAGTGCTGCTGTAAAAAAAAAAAGAACCATGCATTAAACACAATTAAAGCATTAAAAAAAAAATTCCAATGGCCTTTTTTGCAGAAATGGAAAAGCTGACCCTTAAATTCATGTGGAATTTCAAGAGTCCTCAAATAGCCAAAACAATCCTGAAAAAGTACAAAGTTGGAGGACTTACTTCCCAAAATCTACTGCAAAGCTACTGTAATCAAAACAGTGTGTATTTGCACAAGGATAGACGTATAGACAAATGGAATAGAACTGAAAGTTTAGAAATAAATCCATAAATCTACAGCCAACTGATTTTTGACAAGGGTACCAAGTCCATTAAACAGGGAAAGAATAGTCTTTTCAATAGATGGTGCTGGAACAACTGGATTTCCACATGCAAAAGAATGAAGATGGACCCCTACCTCACACCATATACAAAAATTAACTCAAAGTGGACCAGGAACCTAAATATAAGAGCTAAAACCATAAAATTCCAGAAGAAAATATAGGGGTAAATCCTTATGACCTTAGATTTGGCAACGGATTCTTAGATATGATACTAAAAGCACAAGCAACAAAAGGAAAAATAGATAAACTGGAACTTCGTAAAAAATGTAAAACTTTGGTGCATCAAAGAATATTATCAAGAAAATGTAAAGGGCTTCTCTGGTTGAGAATCTGCCTGCCAATGCAGGGGACATGGGTTCGAGCCCTGGTCTGGGAAGATCCCACATGCTGCAGAGCAACTGGGCCCGTGAGCCACAACTACTGAGCCTGCGCGTCTGGAGCCTGTGCTCCGCAACAGGAGAGGCCATGAGAGTGAGAGGCCCGTGCACCACGATGAAGAGTGGCCCCCGCTCACCACAACTAGAGAAAGCCCTCGCACAGAAACGAAGACCTAACACAGCCAAACATAAATAAATAAATAAATTTTTTTTAAAAAAAGAAAATGTAAAGATAATCTACAGAATGGAAAAAAATATTTGGAAGTCATGTATCTGATGAAGTTTAATGTCCAGAATACATAATGAATTCCCACAACTCAACAACAAAGAGACAACCCAATTAAAAAGTAGACAAAGAACTTGAAAAGACATTTCTCCAAAGAAGATATACAAATGGGCAATAAGCACATGAAAAGGTGTTCAACACCATTAGTCATTATGGAAATGAAAATCAAAACCACAACGAGATTCCACTTCGCATGTACTTGGATGACTATAATAAAAAAGAAACAGAAAATGACAAGTGTTGATGAACATGCAGAGAAATCAGACCCCTCATACATTGCTGGTGGGAATGTAAAATGGTGCTGCCACTATCAGAAACAGTTGGTGGTTCCTCAAAAAGCTAAGCATAGAATTAGCATATGACCCAGCAATTCCACACCTAGGTATTTCAATTCCAAATTGAAAGCAGGCTCTTGAACACTTACTTCTATGCCAATGTTTATCACAGCATTATTCAATAGCCAAAACGTGGAAACAACCCAAGTGCCTATCAGATAAATGCAGAAACAAAATGTTGTGTATGCATGCAATGGAATATTACCCAGCCATAAGAAGGAATGAAGTTCTGATATATACTACAACATGGCTGAACCTTGAAAACATGATGCTAAAGGAAAAAAGCCAGATACAGGACAAATATTGTATGATTTCACTTTTATGAAATATCTAGAATAGGCAAATTCATAAAGAGAGAAGTAGATTAGGGTTACCAGGGGCTTGGGGGGAAGAGGGGAAAGGGAATTATTGCTTAATGGTTACCAAGTGTCTATTAAGGGTGATGAAAAAGTTTTGGAAAAAGACAGTGGTGATGGTTGCACAACACCGAATGTAATTAATGGCACTGAGCTATACGCTTAAACAAAGTTAAAATGGTCAATTTCATGTTATATTATTTTATAAAAATCAATAATGTAATATACCAAAACTCACTGTATGCTTTACATGGGTGAACTGTATGATGTGTGAAGTATATCTCAATAAAGCTCATTAAAAAAAAAAAAAGAATCAGTAATTTGGCTTAAATGCTCTTTTAAGTTCCCTTCCATCACTAAATTCTGTCATTTTTTTTTTTGAAGGTCTGAGAATATATTATTTTCCAAAGTTTAAAATCTAGGAAATCTCCAATTATGTTCCAAACCTTGGGTCTGGCTTAACATTTGAACAGAACAGAGCCTGGTACACAGTGCTAGGTAAGTGTTTGTCGTTGTTATTATGATCATTATCATCATTCTCTTCTTCAAAAGAGCCCTACTGAGGCAAGTATGATAAGGCCATCTTAGATAAGAATAAACAGACACAGAGAGGGTAAGTGATTTTCTCAGTAAATGATCTTATCTAGCCAGGAACTGAGAGAGTTGGGATTGAATACATGCAAGCCTGGCTCCAGAGCCCAGGCTGACACCACTAGTTCCTCCCCAGCCCAATCCATTCTATAGAACGGCTGGGCATACAGGTCTGATCACTTTTCTGCACACTATGAATGAAATGGTACCATTTTACCTTGTACTTTTTTCTATGCTGCCACATGGACAATGCATGTCAAAGCACTTTGAAAATGGCAAATCCTATTCAAATGTTAGATATTTTTTTAGAAAGTCAGCTTTATAAATTTGTGTTTTTGACAGCCTCAACTGAAGTTAAGATCCTAGTTACAGAAATCATCATGGCACTTTCTTTTGGGAAGTCAAAGCCTTCAAGACAGTACTCAGAATTCAATAAATAGCTTTTACTATGTAGATCAACAAAGTTTTAAAGTGAATGAGGACAGCAGCCAAGGACAGGCCAAGGTGAGATACCTCACAAGCCAACTGAATCAAGACCTTGGTTACATTAGCTCTGAGCCATTGAACATTTCATATTATGCTTAGCAGGAAAGTATGACAATATTACTTTGATTTTTTGTTGACCCCGCTTAATTTCTGCATCCAGTTGCTTCCTTTTCTCATTTTCTTCTTGAAGTCTTTTTTGCAGCTGTACCTTTTGATGCTTCATGTGATCTACATTCTGCTCTAGTTCATTAGCACGTTTCTCATTTTGGATCGACAGTGATGCCAATTTCTTACTATTTTGTTGCTTCTTCTGTAAGACCTGGGATCATATGAATATTTCAAAATGAAAAACTGCACCTCTCATATCCCTCCACTAAACTTAAACTTTTCATTTAATGACGCAGGTAGGCATTTTTGCCTAGATTTTAATTTATTCTTGATAGTTTCACAACTGTTTTCTACATTTCTACTTTTACAGTCAAACAAATATCATAATTTTCACCAGATATAAAGAATAATGAGACTTCCTGGTGCTGACAGCCAAACAGAACAAAATTGACATCGTTGCTTTTTTTATTGTTTTAATTTTAAAATATTTTATGTACATAATAAAAATTAAAACAATACAAAACTAAACTTATATTTAAAATGACTCTTCTCTCAGATGCCTAATCTACCTGTCCTGTTTCCTGAAACAAAATTACCAATTTCTTAAATATTCCTTGAGAAATAATTTATATGCACATAAGTAACTTTATGTTCTAGGTAGACTATTCTCCACCTCCCCTTTTTTTCTGTTTAACGTATCTTAGAGGTGTTTTCTCATAGATTTGTTCTTTCTATATGACTGCATAGTATTCCACTGTGCTCATCTTTAATACCCAGCTGCAGCCTAAATCATTAATCCCTGAGTTAAGATGATCAGAAATGATACCATTTTCCCTGAGAGTGACCAACCATTGTAATTACTATTTTAATTACCTTAAATAAGGCTTTTTCTCTCTCCATAGACAGCATTAAAATTTTTTGAAGAGTTTACTAATATAAAATACCAGAGTATTTCAATTTAATCCTGATCAAACAAGCAAACATATATTAGATTTGTATGCTGTACTTTAGCGTTACACTAAGTAAGTACCTCTTATGTGACATAAAAAAGGTGAGGTCATTTGTAAGTTATGCAGACTATGATTAATTATTTCCTTTATCTTGGTGATAAATTGTTGACATAAACACATTTTGTTTTAATTAAACTAAGTATTCACAGAGGCATTGTAGCTTAGAGCAGCGCTACTCAAAATGTGGTCTGTGGACCAGTACCACTCACAGACTGTTGTCAGCCTGCACCATGAAGCACATTATTAGATTCAGCTGATGATGTTTTCATGCAAGACTTTGTTGATGAGAGAAGCTGTGCTCCCATTTACCTTTATCTCACTGCAGACCAATAATGAACAATCTGCAGATGGACTACTTTGAGTACTACTAGCTTGGAGGCCACAGGACTCTGCAGTTTCCCATGCCTGGATTTGGACCCTGGCTTTGTCACTTTTTTTTTTTTTTTTTTTTGCGGTATGCGGGCCTCTCACTGTTGTGGCCTCTCCCGTTGCGGAGCACAGGCTCTGGATGCGCAGGCTCAGCGGCCATAGCTCACGGGCCCAGCCGCTCCGCGGCATGTGGGATCTCCCCGGACCGGGGCACGAACCCGCGTCCCCTGCATCGGCAGGCGGACTCTCAACCACTGTGCCACCAGGGAAGCCCCTGTCACTTATATTTGACAGTATTGCAATACTGGAGCAAAAAATGTTAATACTAGAATTTTAGTGTCTTTTCCACATGATATTGAAGATATCAGTATAAGTACTGATAATCTTATTTAAAAGTGAGATAGGTTTGTCATTTGCACTTATTCCACAGATGCTCAAACGTGCACCTCTGTTAGCATTAAACAGAGCATGTAATGCAGCATATAATGCTATATATATCTAAAGACCAAGAATACAGATTTTAGATATTTTTTAATTAAAACAAATTTTTTAAGTTTTAAAAACTAAAATAACTTCATTATACCAATAAAACCATTAGTATTTCAATGTTAAAATGGTATGAAATGTTAGAGTACTGAAAACCATTATTATCATCACAATTATGTGACTGAGTGAGTTATTTTACCTTTGTAAACCTTAGCTTCCTCATTTGTAAGAGTGTAAAAATACCCACTTCAGGGCTTCCCTGGTGGCACAGAGGCCGGCATACCGCAAAAAATAAATAAATAAAAATACCCACTTCAAAGGATTAAATAATGATTAAATAATACATATAATACATATAAAACATCTAGTATGTATATAGCACTTGGTAGATACTTAACTACCACACTTCTCATCCCCACCACCATCCTTATCATCTTTAGCATCCCAATCCCCATCAGTTGTGCATGCATATGGCAAAGGCACAGAAATCTCTAAAACTGTGTGGGACACTTCTTTCAGGCCTCCTTCTATGAGATGTTTCTTTTGAATTTAATTAAGTTCTTTCCTTTCCTCATCAGTACCCTCAGCAGAAAAAGATACACACCAAGAAACATGGAAAACAAAAAGAACATGATAATTCAAACCCTATTAATAATCTTTCATTTAATCTTTTAATCACAACCATAAAAATAATCTTTGCTAAATCCACACACAAGGCTTAGCTATAGATTTATATGGTTAATATAATAACCTCCTTAGAAAAATAATAATTTTGGCTATTTCAAGAAAACTGGAAAAAACACAAACACATGAAGACTAAACCATGTGCTACTAAACAGCCAATGGGTCAACAAAGAAATCAAAGGAGAATCAAAAAATACCTTGAGACAAATGAAAATGGAACCACAACTGTCCAAAATCTATGGGACACAAAAAAAGCAGTTTTAAGAGGGAAGTGTACAGTGATACAGGCCTTCCTCAAGAAACAAGAAAAATATCAAATAAACAATCTAACATTACACCTAAAGGAACTAGAAAAAGAAGAACAAGCAAAGCCCAAAGTTAGTAGAAGAAAGGAAATAATAAAGGTCAGAGAAGAAATAAATGAAATAGAGACTAAAAAAACAATAGAAAAAGATCAGTGATACTAAGAGCTGGTTTTCTGAAAAGATAAATAAAATTGACAATTTAGCCAGACTCAGAAAGAAAAAAAGAGAGGGCTCAAATGAATAAAATCAAAAATGAAAGAGAAGTCACTACTGATACCACAGAAATACAAAGGATCCTAAAAGAGTATGATCAGGGGCTTCCCTGGTGGCGCAGTGGTTAAGAATCCACCTGCCAATGCAGGGGACATGGATTCGAGCCCTGGTGTGGGAAGATTCCACATGCCATGGAGCAACTAAACCCATGTGCCACAACTACTGAGCCTGAGCTCTAGAGCCTGCGAGCTACAACTACTGAGCCCACGTACCACACCTACTGAAGCCCGCGTGCTTAGAGCCCATGCTCTGCAACAAGAGAAGCCACCACAATGAGAAAACTGTGCACCACAACGAAAAGCAGCCCCCACTCACCACAACTAGAGAAAGCCCGTGCGCAGCAATGAAGACCCAACACAGCCAAAAAAAAAGACAAAAAAGAGTATGATCAACAATTATATACCAAAAAATTGGATAACCTAGAAGAAATGGATAAATCCCTAGATACACAGTCTTCCAAGACTGAATCATGAAGAAATAGAAAATGTGAATAGACAGATGACCAGTACAAGATCGGTTCTTACTCATTAATATTGAGTATAAGAATTACAATCAGAACTGAAGGTAGGATAACCTTTCTGCCCGTGGATGCCGTCATGTAAGCATCATTGAAGCCTCCCCCCTCTACTGCCGTCGTGTCTAAGTCAGTCTCCCAAAGAGCCCGAACAGCTGCAGAAGCTCCTCATCAGACGTCTGAGCTTTGAAACAATTGATGCGAGTCTGAGGAGCCACCTGAGCAGCGGGCAGTGCTCACAGACTGTGTGGTAACGAGGGGTCCAAACACCAGGTGCTCCAGAGGCTTCGGGTTTGTCACATATGCCATTGCAGAGGAGGTGGATGCGGCCATGGATGCGAGGCCACACGAGGTGGATGGAAGAGTTGGGGAACCAAAGAGGGCTGTCTCAAGAGAAGATTCTCAAAGACCTGGCGCCCACTTAACCATGAAAAAAATTTTTGTTGGCATTAAAGAAGACACTGAAGAACATCACCTAAGAGATTATTTTGAACAGTGTGGGTAAACTGAAGTGATTGAAATCATGACTGACTGAGGCAGTGGCAAAAACAGAGGCTTTGCTTTTGTAACCTTTGATGACCATGACGCCGCAGACAAGACTGTCATTCAGAAATATCACACAGTGAATGGCCACAACTGTGAAGTAAGGAAAGCCCTATCTAAGCAAGAGAAGGCTAGCGCTTCATCCAGCCAAAGGGGTCGAAGTGGTTCTGGAAACTTTGGTGGTGGTCGTGGAGGGGGTTTTGGTGGGAATGACAACTCTGGTCGTGGAGGGAACGTCAGTGGTCGAGATGCCTTTGGTGGCAGCCGTGGTGGGGGGGATATGGTGGCAGTGGGGATGGCAGTAATGGATTTGGTAATGACGGAAGCCATTTTGTAGGTGGCGGAAGCTACAATGATTTTGGCAATTACAACCATCAATCTTCAAATTTTGGACCCATGAAAGGAGGAAACTTTGGAGGCAGAAGTTCTGGCCCCTATGGTGGTAGAGGCCAATACTTTGCCAAACCACGAAACCAAGGTGGCTATGGTAGTTCCAGCAGCAGCAGTAGCTATGGCAGTGGCAGAAGGTTTTAATTGCTGCCAGGAAACAAAGCTTAGCAGGAGAGGAAGCCAGGGAAGTGACAGGGAAGCTACAGGTTACAAGAGATTTGTGAACTCGGCCAAGCACAGCGGTGGCAGGGTCTAGCTGCTACAAAGAAGACATGTTTTAGACAATACTCGTGTGTATGGGCAAAAAAGCTCAAGGGCTGTATTTGTGCCTAGTTGTATAACAGGTTATTTTAGTTTCTGTTCTGCGGAAAGTGTAAAGCATTCCAACAAAGGGTTTTATTTAATGTAGGTTTTTTTTTTTGCACTCATGCTGTTGATTGCTAACTGTAATAGTCTGATCACGACGCTGAATAAATGTGTCTTTAAAAAACAAAAAAGAACTGAAGGTAGGATATAAACCTATGAAATTATATAAATAAATTTCGTAATAATCATAAAGGAAAGCTCTTAATTGTTTTGTTCTACTAATGTTTTGTTAAAACGAGTACTTTGTTAGACGTCGCAGCCTTAATTTAACGGTCAAGAAATTTAAAAAAATTGATCGCAAGACTCTCGGAGGTGAATTGCTAAGGGAAAAAATGTATTCTGAAGGAAAGTGCAAAGTGTCACGTCACGTTATTTTAACTTGGTGTTGACTTGAGAGGCTACTTAAGTAAAAAAAAAAATGGCGATGTGCAGATGTTTGAGATGGCATTAAAAACCCTAGAAGAAGGGATTTTTTTGCTCTGTTCACTCCTGCATCCCCATCTAGAACAGGACCTGGCACACAGGAGGTGTGCGGTGAACACTTATCTTGTTGAAAGAAAATAACTGTGGTACAGTTTCAAAAATAGATAACTAATGCTCTGACTAGGTTAACTACAATTCCATTCTATGTACAGTGGAAACAATATGAAAGCAATAGATTATGAATCAGGGACTTCCCTGGTGGTCCAGTGGTTGAGAATCCATATTGCAATGCAGGGGACGCTGGTTCGATCCCTGGTCAGGAAACTAAGAACCCACATGCCATAGGGCAACTAACCCTGCATGCCACAACTACAGAACCCATGCACTCTGGAGCCCTCACACCACAACTACTGAGCCTGCCCACACGCTACTAGAGAGCCTGCACACCGCAACTAATGAGCCCATGCGCTAGAGAGAAGCCTGCACACCACGGTGAAGAGCCCACATGCCACAACGAAAGATCCCACGTGCCGCAACTAAGACCCAACACAGTGAAAAAATAAATAAATAAAATATTTTTTTAAAAAAGATTATGAATCAAAAGAACTGGAAAAGGCACTTTAGTAAATTCATTATAAGCAAACTAACAAAGCACTCTGACTATACCAAAAGCATCTGGGAACGGCTTCATACACAAAATCTCTCTATAATGGAATATTTCTCAAAGAATAGAATTTTTAAACTGTAGCTATGTATGAGGATATAGCAAAGTCCAGCATTAGGAAATTAAGAATAAGATGTGGTACTCAAAGTTATTAACCTTTCTTAAACCAATCAGTTATGATTTCAGAAAACTGTCTGAAACAGTTATCATATTTGTTGAGTGTCAAGAAAGTGCTATATACATACCAGATGTTATATATGTATTATTTAATCATTAGTTAATCTTTTATCCTTCAGAAAAGGATACTATTTTCTGTGGTTATCTTTATTGCTCACCATGTGGTTTTTGATAAAAAGATTAAAATAATACACTTCCTGAATGAAGAAATATACTACCCAGACTAAAATTATGTAAACCCACCAGCATACTGGAAAAGAAAACTTGCCATCCAGTTCCTCCCGCTAGTAAAAACTGAATCCTACTTCTTTCCTAACTAGGTACAAGAATCCTCAAAATCAGGAAGCCTTAAATAAGTTTTCTCAATTATATTTTTTAAATTACCTGGACTCTTAGCTTCGCAGCATCCATCTTTTTACGAAATTCCTTCTGTAATTTTACCTTCAAAGCAACATCAGAAAGATCTTTGTTTTCCAGTTCCTCTAGCTGCTTTTGCGTTTCAGTTAATTCCACTTTCGCCTGTTCTGCTTCCTGTTCAAGTTTTGTTACTTTCAGAGAATACTGTTTGCTTACAGACTTGACATCATTACCTTCATAATAATAATAATAGTAATAATTATAAATTATGTTTAAAAACTAAGTAAAACACCAAAAACATAAAATTTCCCTACTCTTAAAAAGCTGGGCAGTAACTATTTAAGGCATAGCATCAAAAATCCAGCTGTCCCTCCCATCCCCATCAAACACAACTTGCCACCTGTCCTTTTAATAATTAGTTCCTTAATGACTGTCCCCATCTGGTGCCATTCTATCTTCTCCCTGGTTCATCTTTTGTTCTGAATTTGCAGTTTACCTTTGCTGGCATCAAACTTCAGTTAAAAGGTATTTGGGGTGACTCACTGGCCTATTGCTTACTACACTTTGTCTTCCTACCACCCATAATCTGTCTCCGAATTCTTTTATTTTACTATTATGAAAATTTTTCAACATATCAAAAGTAGAGAAATAATATAATGAAAGTCCTTCACCCAGATTCAACAGTTATCAAGATTTTGCCACAGCTACTTACTTCATCTATACTTTTTTTCTTCAATTTACTTAAAAACTTTAAAGCAATCCCAGATATAATGTCATCACCTATGTATACTTCAATAAGCATCTAAACAGAATATGGAAATAACCAAAAAGTCATTATCACACCTAACAATGCTAATACCCACCAGTTCCTATTCAGATTTCCCCAACTGTCTCAAAATGTCTTTTACAATTAGTCTATTTTAATCACAATCCAAACAAGGTCACAGTACATCTTATTGTTATGTTTCTTAAGAGTCCTTTAATATAGAGCTAGCCCCCTCTCCTTTTTCATTTCATTTTAACTTGTTAAAGATAATTTTTTAAAAATGCTTTTCTTATGAATATTTAGAACATAGAGAAAAATAGAATATAGGTATTTCTATATCTCTTTTCATTCTAAGCCCAGCTACTGACCCTAAAAATTTAGTTCTGATTTATTCTGAATAGTCAACTGTCCTGAACCAGACTGGCAAACTAGCAGCAGTGGGAAGTAAGAGTCTAGAGGTCATGGGGTGAATAATCACCAGGACAGGTTGTTATACTGGTATACTGTAAAGCTCTTAATTTTTTAATAAAGGGAGTTATTGAACTAAATGCACTGTAAGTTGTCTTCTGGCTCTACAATTCTATGCTTTCAACTAACTTCAAAATACATATGACAACAATGTTTTAATGAATCTGTGATCCCATAAATTGTTTAACATGCTAATATTTTATGAACCACTAAGAAAAAAAATATACAGTACCAATTACACCATGACAAAATGCTAAAATGCCACTGATTTTTAAGATGCATCCTGATTTCAGGGATATTAAAATGTGAAAAAATTGTGTATTAAAATTGATGAAATACAGTATAATTGTCATTGTTATTAATTTTGGCTGAAGTAGCTACTGTTTGGGGAAGTCTTCAGTGAGAGGACTTGGAAAAGTAAGTACACATTGACCCTTTTGCTAATCACCATTTCTAAGGGACTTTAGGAAAGCTCCAAACTGCCCTTCGTTCTATGAACAAGAGAGGACCTTCTCTGTTTAAGTTCAGGTATCCTCTATTTTAAGGCAACCAGGATGGGTATACCAGGTTACAAAAGTGTGCTTGTTTAGTTAGATATCCCATGGTGGGATAACCTATATGAAAGAAAATCGTTTATTTCAGAGTGGTAAATATCCTCAATTTCTACACTCACTACCCTAAAATCATGGGGATAGAGAAGCTATTTAAACCCCTAAACCATTTCCTAGATACTCCTAAGAGAGGTTTACTGGCATTGATCCTGCCTATGAGGAAGGAGAATGGTCAAAATCAAACATCTGGGATAACTGGAGCTGGGACGATGCATAGCCCATACACCACTAGGAATGAGAAAGGAAAACGCATTGGACAGCAGCTAGAGGAGAGGAAGATGAGAAAGGAGGACCGACAGTCAGAAAGCAAGCTTGCAGGAAAGAGGAGGGAGAGGCCAGGCAGGTTTCTCCTTGCTGGCAGAGGATTTGGGAACCACAATTCATGTAGTTTGAGTGTGATTATAGTCTTGGGCTTGAAGAAGAGGAGGATAGTATTTCCTTCAGTTTCCCCAAATGTGACCAGAGTTGTTTTGCATTGAAATTGGGGGAAAGAAATGCTAGTGTGTCTTATTCCTTCAATTCTTTACTGAATTTCAGAGTAGTCAAGGCTTACACTTGGAGTGTATTAGTGAGGGGAACCCCAAAAGCTTGAGATGTGCATTTTAAGGCAAGCCTAATGGAGTTGCAGGGTGAGGAGAGGATGTGGTACATATGCCCAACCTGGTAGATTAAGGGGAGGAGATGAAAGCTTGGCTCACTCAAGAGGACAGCTCTCAAGGACAAATCCTTATATCTTCAGAAAAACAAAAATTAGCTACATTTAAAATATAAAGTTTATAATTAAGGTTAAATATGAACTATCCAAGAAAATAAAGACTAATAATTTAAAATAAGTATTTACTAAAAATGAACTCGGAAAACATCTCAGACTTATCCCAGATGCCTAGTATAATGTTTCTAAAGAGTGGCAAAAAACATTAAGTGCCATAGAGTTTCAGCACAACACAGAGTTCACACTGGTTAGAAAAATTCATAGATGAAATCAAATATAACAAAGTTCTTTTGATAATTAACCTCCACATACTGGCTCTAGAGCACACCTTGTTAGAACGAATTCCAAGCTAACGTGGATAGTCCTGAGCATCAAAAATTAAAGTAAATGTTACAACATCAGAAGCAACTTCAGAAGATTTTTTTTTTTTTTTTTTTTGGGTACGCGGGCCTCTCACTGTTGTGGCCTCTCCCGTTGCGGAGCACAGGCTCCGGATGCGCAGGCTCAGCGGCCATGGCTCACGGGCCCAGCCACTCCGCGGCACGTGGGATCTTCCCGGACCGGGGCACAAACCCGTGTCCCCTGCATCAGCAGGCGGACTCTCAACCACTGCGCCACCAGGGAAGCCCTAGAAGCTTTTCTTTCTCATATAAGCTGGTTCACAGGATACTATTACCTGTTTTAATTAATTCTTTAATCAGATCTTCCTTCACCTTGATGTTGATAGTAAGTTCCCTCATTTTTTGTTTAGCTTCAGTAAGTATGAGCTCTGAATTCCTTAATTTTTGCAAATTCAACCCTTGACTCTCCTGGAGACATTCAATCTTTAAATCTTTAAAATAAAAGAAACAAAACTGAGAAATAAAAACTATCTGCTCAGAAATATTTGACAGAAGTAGAGTTAAAAAAAAAAAAAGGCAGACACACAAGCAGTCTAGAGGTAACAGAGGAAGGGACAGACAGAAAAAAAAAGGAAAAAATACATAGCAATTGGGACTTTAGTTTCCCAGCTCACAGTGAGTTTTCCTTTCCTTAAAACATATGTATATGCTCTAGTCATATCCTGTAGGTTCTGATACAGTTTTTCATTACCCTTAGATATTCTGCAATTTGACTTTTTCTTTAACCCGAGTTATTTAAGAAAGATATAAAATCTCCAGATAGGTAGAGGTTTTAATTTTTTTCCTATTAACTCATAGTTTTATGGTAATCAGAGAATGTAGTCTCCCTCTACCCCAGGCTAATAAGAGTGTGGCCTCACACTGTTTGTTTCTGTCTTGTACTAGAACATAAATCAATTACCTCACTCTTTTAGCTCAGCTGACATTTTTTTCACAGTGAGACTTCCTCAATGAAGGAGCTGGTGCACTGATTTACATCCTGAAATTAAGTTTCTTACCTGGTTGTAGACCAGTAACAAACAGTTCAAGGATGGCTACTTTGGTAGCACTTATCTACACTATTTATACATTTTAAAAATTTATCTCAATTTCATTTTTTAATATTACACGCATAAGCTCAAATTTATTTTTAATTATTTATCTTTGGTTGCATTGGGTCTTCGCTGCTGCACACAGGCTTTCTCTAGTTGCGGCAAGCAGGGGCTACTCTTCATTGAGGTGAGCAGGCTTCTCATTGCGGTGGCTTCTATTGTGGACAACGGGCTCTAGGCGTGCGGCCTTCAGTAGTTGTGGCTCACGGGCTCTAGGGCGCAGGCTCAGTAGTTGTGGTGCGTGGGCTTAGTTGCTCTGCAGCATGTGGGATCTTCCCGGACCAGGGCTCAAACCCGTGTCCCCTGCATTGGCAGGCAGATTCTTAACCACTGCGCCACCAGGGAAGTCCCCCATAGGCTCTTAAAAAGATGCTATTTTCACAGTGTAGGACTTATCACGTTATTTATATTCTCTGTAGTCTTACTCTTGGTGTTGTGACCACACATAGGCTAAGAGAAATGAGCTAAAATCTCCGCATATGCTTTTTGCAACATAAATGTCTTTTATGCTGTTTTTTGATGCATAAATTCTCATCAGTTGTGAACATTATAAGTACCCACTAGACTAAGTTGGCTCTAATGCCAAATATATCACTAATGGTAGGCATGAGTGCCAGTGAAGCAGTAGAGAGCTAGTAAATTACTTAGGATGCATTTTAAATAAGTCAAGAGTACAATGTATATCAACTCACGTTTGAATATAAAATCCCCATTCTGAGAGATTTAGCCTATAACTCTAGCTTGAATTGATTGGTGGAAAAACTGTTTTCATTAAGGAGTAAAAACGAACAAAAATTCAGAGGTAGAGCAGAGAACACAAAGGAAAAAGCCAGGAAAGCACTCGTAATCAAGTTCCCGTCTTGGAGAATTCCCAGATGCTTCTTAAATTATTGCCTGAAGAAAAAGAGAGGTGTCATAAATATTAGATCTAAAGTACTTGAGAAAGTCTGTGTACCTTCATTCTCCAATCTTGACTTTTGTGTTTGATCCTGAATATCATTCAATTCAACAAAAGAACAAACAGAGCCTGGCTTTTGAATCCACGAGCAACCTTTATGTCTAAAAAAAAAAAAAATCAGGATCAAAGGTAACTTGTCTGTTAGTGGTTTCTAATATGCCCTCAAATTAGTTTCCCCCCAAATTATTCTTTAAATTGATTAATTATTCTTTAAATGATTAACACAAAATAAATGGAACTTACTAATATTCCACAAAATAAAAAGATATCCCCCACCATGTTGGACCCAGTGGAAAATTCATCATGTTTGTTGCCACTGTGGCAGCAGAATTAGGAAATCCAAAATCATTCTCTCTGAAAATTAAAATTCAACCACCATAAATGCTTTAAAGCAAAATTATTTTACAGTTGTTAGACTGATGACTTGTGTTCAAACACTGGTTTCATAACACATTAGTTGACAGTACATGTAGCAAAAACCACTTAACTCTCCTACTAAATGGAAAAAGATATACTTTAATGAAAAAAACCTACATCTGTATATATTAATTGCATCACGTAATTATGTTTATTAAATCAGTCTATATTAACATACCTAATTTCAGATTTCTCTTGGCCTTCTGACTCTTCATCATCACTGTTATCAGAAAACTGGCAGTGGAGGACTTCATCCTGCTCTTCTAAGTGACCCAGCAGCATCTGACTTCGTGTTCGAAATCCAGCAACTAGTCGATCCAGAGAGTATACAGAAGGACTTGTGTAGACCTTACAAGTGATTCCCCCACCCAACAACAAAAAACGTGATTTTTTGTGTCTGTTTTTATCCTATCACTCAAAATGTTTTTTAAAGAGGTTAGACAGGTACTCTTAAAATAGCCAATCACTGAAAATATACATCCCCCCCACCCACAAAAAAAGTCAAAATTCATTTCATAATACTATTGTGCCTCATGGACACACACTTCTTTCAGAATCTATACACAGCTCTTCCTCTTCTAGAAAGCTTGTATAACTTCAAGGAAAATAGCACTCAAAAATGAAACCAAAAAGAGGCATGAGTGAAAACATCACAGCTCTTTTTTTTTTTAATATATTTTTTTAAAGATTTCTTTATTATTTATTTTTGGCTGCGTTGGGTCTTAGTCGCGGTATGCGGGATCTTCGTTGAGGCACGCGGGATCTTTCATTGCGGTATGTGTACTTCTCTCTAGTTGCGGCCTGAGGGTTTTCTCTTCTCTAGCTGTGGCGCGCAGGCTCCAGGGCGTGTGGGCTCTGTAGCTGTGGTGCGCCAGCTCTAGTTGAGACATGTGATCTCAACAGTTGTGGCACACAGGCTTAGTTGCCCCTCGGCATGTGGGATCTTAGTTCCCTGACCAGGCCCTGCACTGTAAGGCGGATTCTTTACCACTGGACCACCAGGGAAGTCCCAACATCACAGCTCTTAAACATAGCTCAGGCACTCCCCAACAAATGTGAAGCCCATACACAGTGTAATAGGAGACAACTGTTACCCACCCCACCGCAATCTTCCCATTTCTGAACACTTGGAGAATTGCAGTGCTGCTAAGGATCTGCAATTCCCCTCTAATCCAAATCCCACCACATGAAGAAATCCAGAGCCACCACCACTCCTTCTGCCAGGGCAAAATATTCCTGATTTGAAAATTTGAATGTATTTATTCAGACTTTACATGTAGTAGTCAGGGAGAGCTGAATTAGTGCTCTAAGTGACACTTAATATGTATCATGGGATAAATAGATTTTCATGGACTAGCCTGGAAACTTTCTATATTATTATTCTATTGGCCTTAAGTTCTCAAATATTCACCTTGGAAAACAATGAATTAGATATTGCCTTTATACTTTTATTCTAGTTTCTGTTACCAAATATTTCCTTTTTAACCACTTCTCTATAACCAAACCTGAGGGTAATTTCTCAAAAAAGGTAAATAATAAGATCTTAGAGGAGACATTCAATTTATTAATATAAATCATTATAAGCTATTAAAATTACTACATACAGTAGAATGTGTATATCACATGGTGTGAAGATTCAATTGACGTAGGTCCTTTACACACCACCTCCCAGGAAAACCAACCTGATACTGGATATTTCTTGATACTTGATTTTTGTACCTCCACTGTTGGTCACCTAATAAGACCATCCATCACATCAGCACCATGATGGATGGGGGGTAAAGTTTTCTAGGTGGCCTCCCAATTCTGGGGTATGGAAATTATTTACAGAAGAACCAACTCAAGAAGTATTTATCTAACAAGCACATTGTACCTAGCATGACCACCTGCACCATAACCAACAGGGTTCAAGGTTGCTCTTTGATGGGGGTGGGGGTGGGGGCTGGGAGGAGGGCTTTATTTCAGGAGCAAATAAAACTTTTTGTTCAGAATCAAACTTTGTTTTCTGGGATTGTAACTTGCTTTAAAATTTTCTTTTTACAAAGAAAAGCAAATGACCCAGCTTAATAATGAACACCAAATGGGTTCTGCCACAATGAGTAACGTTCAGTAAATTAATTCCTTAACAGTCATTCCACCCAAAAGAATGGTTCTTAGCCCCTTCTGGCTCACCAAGCCTTCTATAATCTGGCCCCTTCCTACCTAAGTGTTGGGTCCTGCTTCTTTCAGTTGCTTCTGCACTCCCTGCTCCCAACAAAGAATATTTTTGCATTTTCAACCATACCCCAAGCAACACTGATCACAATGTAAGTACTCATTAAGCTGAGTAATAATTCAGATAACTGAAGTGTATCCAACTAGAAGGCAATTTTTTTGTTCTAACCATTTTTTCCGAGAATTACATAGCGACAGGACTACACAACAGAATTACACAGCAACAGAACTTTAAGGATTAGAGTTCAACTCATCCCATGTTTGACTCTCCTCTGTAATACTGCAAATTATCATTTAACCTCTGCTTAAACAAATTCACTGTGGGGACCCGCACAAGCCCTGAGACCTCTCATATTACTTTGACAGTTCTCATTAATAAATCCCTCTTTATATTGCCTCTTATATTGCCTTATTGCTTCTCGTTGGTCCTAGTTCTAGAGACAAAGTCTAACAGTAATGATAAGCCTTCAAATACTTGAAAGCAGTTATCATGTCTCCTCTGAATCAGACTAAATCTAGAGTTACTTCAGATTTTCTCCAAGGTCCTTCAGCAACTTGGTTGTTCTCCAAAAATAATCTAATTTGACTTAGGTGTTGTACCCAGATCTGAGCATAATATTCTCAATCATCATACAATAAGATAATCTCTTCTCACTAGTGATGCGTTTGATTTTGTTTCATGAGATGTGTTGCAACTCATTTACCACAGATTGTGGCTTTCACATATTTAATTTTGTAGTTGAATTTGAGAGTTCCACAAAGGTTCATAAGATGTAATTTGTCATTTTGCTACTGTGAACTTGGTATGTTTTGCAGGAATGAGTGCTGGGCTGGCAAGGGAACCTGGTCAAAGCTCAGCAGACACATCTCACACAGCTCTGCTTCACCATGAGCAACAATCTATGCAAAGACGTGATTAAAAAGCAAAACTAATTAATTATTTTGTGAGAAAAAAATGGCCTTTGTGTGAAAGATAAAATCTTAATGAAAACTGAAAAGGCTGTTGACTTCAGTGTATGGGATTTAATGCATAAGAATTTTGTGACTCAATAAAAATGTAATTCATTCAGGAAAAACAGAAAAGATTTTACAGATATTTCCACTTTTGTGAGTTTGGAGATTCCAGAGGTTTAAAAAATATATCCCTTGGGACTTCCCCGGTGATCCAGTAGCAAAGAATCCACTTTCCAATGCAGGGGACGTGGGTTCAATCCCCGGTCAGGAAACTAAGATCCCACATGCCACGGGGCAACTAAGCCCGCATGCCTCAACTACTGAGCTCTCGCACCTCAACGAGAGCCCGCATGCCACAAACTACAGAGCCCACGCACCCTGGAGCCCACGCACCACAACTAGAGAGAGAAAAACCCTCATGCCACAACTAGAGAGAAGCCTGTGTGCTGCAACGAGGAGCCCACGCACCGCAATGAAAAAGAAAGATCCCGCGTGCCGCAACTAAGACTCAAGGCAGCCAAAAGAAAAAGAAAGAAAGAAAGAAAAAAAATCCCTTAAGAACATTTTTGTTGGTTTTCTTACTATACGATTATGTCAAGTACTGAAAGTGATATTTACCTATTGCTTTTATTTCCTTTTCATAATACAATATTTTATCAAATCTAAAATGTCATCAACTGTAAGACACACCATTATTTTTATACCAGCAAGAAAGAAAAAAGCTATCATCTATGACATACCATCAATTGTAAAACATATCCTACCACCAAAGATGATAAAGTGAAAAAAAAAATGTGAGTCTTATAATCCATGAAAAATGGTAGCATCATCAGCATATATGGTATTATTTTAAACCTAAGTAAAGACTGGTACCACTTTGTAATTTTTTTCCTTCCAAAGTGCCTTTTTGGTATGTACTGATATAACACTGGTGTTTGGCTTTAATTATATCATATTTACCACATTAAGAAAATAGAAACCTCTGTTACATTTTTTTCCTTAAATTTAAATCTAGATTCAATTTTACATGAGTTTACATTAGATGAGTTTCTGGCATCTGTTGAGACAAATGAGTTTCTTTCTCGTTTTTCCTAATAATTTGGTAAATTATACTATTTAGTTGTGAAGGGCAATTTCTTTAGGATTTCTACATAAGTAGATAAATCCTAAAATTCCATTTTGGAATTAAACTTTTTAGATTAAGAGATGGTTGCAAACAACTTAAATGTGCAACAATAGGAAAAAGCACACAATGGTATGTCCTTAGGATAAAATATTATTACCTGTCAAAATCATGATATAGAATATTTAATGACTGTCAAGCATTTGTGATACATTAAGTGAGAAAAGCTAGCTACAAAAGTATATAAGTTATATATATATAAAATACACTTTTAAAATAAATAAGATCTTTTCACTCTTTCCCTCCAATATGTATAAACAAACATATAAGAAATGAAATCAAACTCTTTATGCAATCAATTTAAAAACTAATTAAGCCATTGTTCCCCTTTTCCTTTGTAAGTTTTTTTTTTGTTTTTTTTTTTTTTTTGCGGTACGCGGGCCTCTCACCGTTGTGGCCTCTCCCGTTGCAGAGCACAGGCTCCGGGCGCGCAGGCTCAGCGGCCATGGCTCACAGGCCCAGCCACTCCGCGGCATGTAGGATCTTCCCGGACTGCGGCACGAACCCGTGTCCCCTGCATCGGCAGGTGGACTCTCAACCACTGCGCCACCAGGGAAGCCCCCTTTGAAAGTATTTTAAGTCAAGGAAATATTTCCCTTGTCAGACTATTTTTACTTCAAGAAAATATTTGAGCTAAATTCTAAAAGAAAATATTAGAGCTGGAAAATATTAGCTCAACTTCTGCCAAGGAGACAGAAATCCAGGAAAAAATGAAATGAGATTTCAGACATCTTCTTTAGCCTAATTTAACTAGTTTTGGTATTTAATATGAAACGTTCTGCTCACTCTAGAACAATGGAACAGGAAACAGGACTTGAACAAGTCTTGGCAGGCTTTGCGTCTTTCCATGCAAGTCTTCATGTCTGCTGCAGTAACCAGTCCAAGCAAGAGTGGGGGCCAGGATTCCTGGACACACAATAGGAGCAAGAGAATTCTCAAAACTGCTGATCATTGCATTTTCTCCCTTTTCCCCTTCTTTTAGTGGCTAGAAGGGTTCTTTTGGGGTAGAAGGAAAATTTTAAAAACAAAACTAAGAATTTGCTAATTTGAATATATGTCCATCCATGGTGAAGGAAACAGCACTGGGAGTAAGTGTTGCCATTCCTCAACATAATGCAGAGTCTCTCTGGCCGGGTCTTTTCCTTCCATGTCACAGCAATCTTTTGGCAAACTCACTGGTTCTTTCTTTCTGTTACATCTTAATCCCACTTGGTCATAAGGGAACTTTGAGATTACCTGTAACCACAGAGGAGCTACAAGTCTTATAGTGCATCTGCCCTCTCCTAAGCTATGGTAACCACACAATATGTTTTCCAAACCAAAACCCTTGAAAGTGAAAGGGGGCAATGAAACTAATTAAAATTTTAAAAATAATAATTTGCTAATTTGAAACAATAACTGTGGAAGTTTTTATTCCAGTCATGGCTGTTTCAGGTCTAATCAAACAACTAGAGATAAGAACAGAGGGGCCTAGGGACCTCCCTAGTGACACAGTGGTTAAGAATCCACCTGCCAGTGCAGGGGACATGGGTTCAAGCCCTGGTCCGGGAAGATCTCACATGCCACGGAGCAACTAAACCTGTGTGCCACAACTGCTGAGCCTGCGCTCTAGAGCCCAGGAGCCACAACTACTGAGCGCATGTGCCACAGCTACAAAAGCCTGCACGCCTAGAGCCCGTGTTCCGCAACAAGAGAGGCCACCGCAATGAGAAGCCCGTGCACTGCAACGAACAGTAGCCCCTGCTCACTGCAACTAGAGAAAGCCCGTGCACAGCAACGAAGACCCAACACAGCCATAAATAAATTTATTATTTTTTTTTAATCTTAAAAAAAAAAGGAACAGAGGGGCCTAACCCCTTCTCAAGAGTCCATGGAGCTCTGTCTCCTCAAAGAATGCGTGCGTGTTTGTGTGTGTGCGCGCGCAGGCGTGTGTGTGAACATCTAGTAAAAAGAGAAAGAAACAGAGACTGAGAGAGATAATAAATGTCTAACTTTTATAATCAGAAAAAAATGTTGTTATTATTATAAAATAAAAGAATGAACAGAGGGACTTCCCTGGTGGCGCAATAGTTAAGAATCTGCCTGCCAATGCAGGGAACACAGGTTTGAGCCCTAGTCAGGGAAGATCCCACATGCCGCAGAGCAACTAAGCCCGTGCGCCACAACTACAGAGCCTGCACTCTAGAGCTCGCAAGCCACGACTACTGAGCCCACGTGCCACAACTACTGAAGCCCGCGCGCCTGCAGCCCATGCTCCGCAACAAGAGAAGCCACTGCAATGAGAAGCCCGCACACTGCAACGAAGAGTAGCCCCCGCTCACCGCAACTAGAGAAAGCCCACATGCAGCAATGAAGACCCAACGCAGCCAAAAAAAAGTTTAAAAAGAAAAACAAAGAATGAACAGAAACAGGAAATTCTTTCACGTTACTAGCCAATAGTAAAAAAAATTCTTTTTAATATAGAAGACTTGATATATAATTAAGTTGAATTAATAGATATCCAATTTGAATCCTACGAAGACCTTATCTTTCTTCTCAAATGTTCTATGCAAATTCACCATGTATTCAACCAAGAAGAAAATGTCAATAACTCTAAAAAGTTTAACTGAAATTAATAGTAACGATGGTTTAAATTTTAAATCCAACCACTCAAAATTGAAAACTATAGAGGTAACAGTAGCATCTGTCCCACTCATTCTGAGGCATGGAGCCTGGGACATAGTAGAAGCACCCCATGAACATGTGTTAGGATGCAGTGTGCCAGGCACTTTTGGAGTCAACATCTCATGTAAATCCTCCATACACCCCCGCAGGTCCCCCATTCTGACAGATAAGGAGCCTGGGGTTCATACGGTTTTAGTCATCCATCCAGGCCTACACCATAGAGATGGTATCCACACCCAAGCCAGCCTGACTGCAAAGTCTATGACATCTCTCATATTTCTTATCCCTTTGACTGTAACCAATGAAATCATTTCCAGTCCTAAAATTAATAAATGGAAACCAAAATTCATGAATCTGCTAATTAGTCTTTTCCATGGTGGAGATTCCTTGATTTTTCAAGAGAAATCAGTGTGTGCACATATTTACCACCCACACACATATTTTTTATAAATAAATAAAAATTAAGATGAAACTTCATACTCATTTTTATATAGCCTTGATTATGTCAAACTTGGCAAGACTGAATAACACATAAATGTCATTTTGAAAATAATCAGACAGGCAAAGTAAGTCAAAATAAATACCTCCAACCTCATCAACTTGGGTTGGGTAAATAAAGATAGAAAAAATTCATGAAGATATCAGACTTAGTCACGTCTGAAAATACAATAGCAAAGGGTAGCTTTTTTCTCCTTGATAAATGTAAGCATTATCTTCAACTATTCCTTCCAAATATATCTATACATTCTCCTACCTATTAATTTTTTTATTAAAAAGAAGCATGATTTAAAAAAGAGTATACATAACAAACAAAAAAGAAGAGTATAAACAAAAGTGTATGAAACCAAATGGAAAAAAAACCTGCTAAGACTATACAAATACACTGTGATATTATATTATATACAATATTTTTTAAATCTCATAATAAGAAAGAAATTAATGCTTAGACTTTACCTTCCTGGAATCTGATCTTGCTGGAATATAAATATAATGCTCTAAACGGGTATCAAATGGTACAGTATATGGTCTCTTTTCAGGTATCCTGGCATCTGGCCCATCTCCACAAGTTTCCTTAACTGACGAAGTCATTGACAGGTTAAGTTTTGTTAGTTCTTCACTCAGTTGATCCACAAGAAGTTGTTGTTCTATTATTTTTTCATTCTTTGTAGAAGAGAGATAAGAATTTTAAAAACAGAGAACCTCAGTATGTGTATAATGATTAAAAATAACTGTACATCCACCAAAATTACAACTACCTTAACAAAACAGTAAAACCTCATTTATCCAAAGACTAGCCTTCTGGGATTTCCCTGGCGGTCCAGTGGTTAAGACTCCACACTTCCACAGCAGTGGGCGCAGGTTCCATCCCTGGTCACGGAACTAAGATCCTGAAGGGTGCGTGGCGCAGCCAAAAAAAAAAAAATTTTTTTTTCTAAAAAAAAAAAAAAACCAAAAAACAAAGACTAGCTTTCTGGTGTTCACAAGAATTTAGGATTGTCCTGAGTGGTAAAAACTTTTGAATAGTAAGCACCAATAAATACAGCCTAAAGAGTGTGCAAGACAGTGCCCCACACACTGTGATTGGTTAGCTTGCCAACCTGAAGCACTGTGATTAGCTGATCTTTATAAAAGTTTGAACCTTCAGAGTGAAATCCAAGAAGTAACAAGAGACCAGAATGTTAAAAAGTGTAGAAAATTGCAAAGAGCTGAGGTGACAGCAAAGGGGACAGAAAGTGGTAACAGGTGCAGTGAAGTGAAAGCCTTTACTCAGCGAAAAAGAAAGCCAGAAACACAAAGAGATAGAAGATAGGCAATTGAGAGTCGTGGGAGAAAGAACTTGGAAATCAAAGGCAGAACGAATTATATGGGGGGATGGGGGGGGAGACACCGTGTGTGGTTTAGCTTCTTACATATCCTCTAAAGAAAAATTTTGAAGTATATCCAATCTAGAAAGCTCTAACATCAATCTTTGTTTTATAAGCACAAAATTATGTAAATAAGAAATGTCATTCATCTTAATATTTCACATGTATTATAATGTTTAAATAGGAGAAAAAAAAAAACCCTAAACTTTCACTGTGTTAATGCTGAGCTATAAAATGTAACTTTATTTTAAAAGTCATGTATTCAGATAATTAAAATATAAAACATCAATAGCATATAAGTTGACGGGGGATATTAAATGGAGTCCTTATACTCTCTAGGAAAAGGGTAAAAATACCAATTAATATTAGACTGTATTAAGTCAAGGGTGCATGGTATACTCTCCAGAATAACCACTAAAAGAAGTGAAAGTACAACTTCTAAGGTAATGAAGTAAATTTTAAAATACACAATTAATCCAAAAGAAGGTAAGAAGGAGAGAAGAAGGAACATAGAGCAGATAGGATAAGTAAAAATCACAATGGTGGGATTATAACCAGAATGTAATAGTAATTATGTTAAATTCAGAAATGAACTAAGTAATCCAATTAAAGGATAAGGACTGTCAGAAGGAATTGTAAAATTATCTAACCTGCTAATTACAAGAAACACAACTAAAATAGACACAGAAGGATTAAAAAGAAGATGGAAAAAGAGATACCATGTAAATATTAATCAAAAGAAAGCTGGTATAGCTATATTAATATAAAATAGACTTTAAGGCAAAAACCATTAGAAGAGATAAAATGAGGTAAAAAGTGATTTAAAAAAAAAGGTCAATTTACCAGGATGATGTAACAATTCTACATTTCTATGTACTTAATAACCGAGCTTAAATATATATAATGCAAAAATGGTCACTATTCTCAAGACAAATCCAAAATTATAGTGGGAGATTTTAACATCACTCTAAATCACTGATATGACAAAAAGACCCCCAAAAAGTGAGTAAAAATATAGATTTGAATAACAGGATAAACAAGATTAAGAGTACCCAATGATTGCAGAATACACATTCTTTTCAAACACTTCTGTAGTATCTACAAAAACTGGCCTTATGCTAACCCATAAAGCAATTTTCAACCCAAAGAACTGAAATCATACAATTAAGCTAAAAATTAATAAATGCAACTAAGCTAAAAGTTAATAAAATCCTCCATGTGTTGTAAATAAAATAACTATACAACCCATAGGTCAAAGAAAAAAGTCACAATAAAAATTAGGAAATATTTTGAGGCAAATGTGAAATGCAGGTAAAAATAAGCTTAGGAGGAAACATATAAATTTAAATGCATATATTATAGAAGGCTAAAAATATATAGAAAGGCTAAAACTCAATGAACTAAGCATCCATCTAAAGAATTTAGAAAGATAGCATAGGATCCTATCCCCCAAAAAAGCAGAAAAAATTAAATAATAAAGATAAGGGTAGAAATTAATTAAATAATAAATAAACATATACTAGAGAAGATCAACAAAGTCAAGAATTTCTTCTCTGAAGAGACTAATAAAATTGATAAACCCCTGGTGAAGTTGATCAAGAGAAAAAAAAAAGAGAGAAGGCACAAATAACCAGGAATGAAAAGGGGGATATCATCACACGTCTAAAAACATTAAAGAGATAAGAGACTATTACAAACTTATGCCAATAAATATGAAAACTTAGACACAGTTGTTAGATTCTTAGACAAATAAACCTTATCAAAAGGGGGGCAAAAAGAAAATATGATTGAATTCATAATAAAACATTCCACAAAGAAATGTTCCAGTCCCAAATGTTTTTCAGGTGAATTCAACCAAACATTTAAGGAGGAAATAACACTAATTTTTCACACATTCTTCCAAAGTATAGAAAGAGAAGGAATGCTACCTAACCTATATTATTAGGATAACCTAATTTGTTACAATATCTAACAAGAATATTTTGAAAAAGGAAAATATAGGCTAATCTCACACATGAATAGAGATGCTAAAATCCTAAACAAAATAATCACAAACCAAATCAAGGACACTTGTAGAAAACAGTTAACACAGCAGACCTGACTGCTATCCTTTGAAAGACCTGCTTAAGAGGTTGTCCATTGGCTGGTGTCTGGGAACTTGGATCCTAAGAGGGTTCCCAACACCCTAACTGGTAAGAGTGGCTCACTGTGCTCAAAGTGTTTGTACAGACAAGGTGGCTTATGTTGAACACCTGCTTTCCTTCTGGTAGTCTGGAATTTTGGTACATGCTGGGCAGAGAATGCCTTCATTACCAGCCCTCAATAAAACCTGAGTCTCTACTGAGTTTCCTTGGTAGACAACATTTCACGTGAGTTGTCACAGGCTTTGCTGGGGGAATTAAGCACATGCGGGTGACTCCACCGGGAGACAACTCCTGGAAGCTTGTGCCTGGTTTCTTCTGGACTTCACTCTATGTCCCCGTTCCCTTTGCTCTCCTTTCACAGTAATAAATCTTAGCCATGAGCACAACTATATGCTGAGTTCTCCTGGTGCATCATCCAACCTGAGGGTGGTCTTGGGGACCCCCAACACAATACATCATGACCCAAAGAAAGGTTTATTCCAGGAATATAAGATTGGTTTAAAAATTAGAAAAATCAATATAATTCACCACATTAACAGGATAAAGGGAGGAAATCATGATAAAGAAAAATCATTTGATAAAATTTAATATCCATTCATAATAAAAATTCTCAGCAAAGAAATTTTCCTTGGTTTGATAAAGGATAAATTAAACAAATATATATATCGGGACTTCCCTAGTGGTCCAGCAGTTAAGACTCCACACTTCCACTTCAGGGGGCACAGGTTGATCCTGGTCGGGGAAGTTCCGCATACCGCACAATGCAGCCAAAAAGTAAAAAAAAAAAAAAAAAAAAATCTGCAGCAAACATGATACTTAATAGTGAAACAGTGAAAGCTTTTCTTCAGCAGTTGGAAACAAGACAAGGATGCTTGGTATCAACACTTGTATTCAACACTGTATTAAAGATGTCAGTCAATGAAGTAAGGTTAAAAAAAAAAAAACAGAAGGTATAAGGATCATAAAGGAAGAAATAAAAATGTCTTCATTTGCAGATGACATAATTATAAATGAAAATCCTAAAGAATTTACATAAAATATCAGAATTAAAAAATGAATTTAATCAGGTTGCTGGGTATAAGCTATCAACATACACAAATCAATACAGTTACACATACCAACAAAAAATGAAAATCTGAAAAGATTCCATTAATAGTCACATAAAAAAATAAAGTACCTGGGAATGAATCTAACAAAAAATGTGCAATACTTCTACATACACACAAAAAAGTCATTATTGAGAAAAACCAAAGAAAACATGAGTAAATGGAGGAATATACCATGTTCATGGGTTAGTGAAAAGACTCATGATCAAAAGATGTTAACTCGTTCCAAATGTATCTTATAGATTTAATGCAATCCCAACCAAAATCACAAAAAAGTTTTGTTTTTTTGGGTTTTTTTGTGGTCCTTGAAAAGCTGATTCTAAAATTTATATGGAGCAACCAAGACATTCTTGGGGAGGAGGGAAACAGAGCAGAGGCCTTGCTCTATAGAATATCTAGACTTATTAGGAACCTGCAATAAATAAGAAATGTGACATTGGTCCAAAGACAGAAAAACTAATGAGATACAACAGAAGTCCCAGAAATATACAATAGATGCATGCATGAATGAACCTTGATTTATGACAAAGACAGTGGTGAAAAGATGGTCTTTTCAAAAAGTGACGCTGGAACAAATGGATATCTATATGGAAAAAAATTGAAATTTGACCTTTACCCCATACGCAAAAATCAATTTCAGGAGAACTGTACAGCAAAATGTAAAAGGCAAAACAATAAAGCTCCTAGAAGATAATATAGAAAGACTCAGTCCAATAGGAAAGCAAGCAAGAAACTTGAATGAGCATTTCACAAAAGAAGGTATCCAAATAGCAAAAAAACATGAAGAAGTGCTCAACTTCACTAGTCATCGGGGAAGTGCAAATTAAAACCACAGTAAAATAATATTATATACCTACCAGATTGCCTAAGATTTAAAACTTTACAATAACAAATGCTGGCAAGCAAGTGGAGCAGCAGAAATGCTCACACAGTGCTGGTGCAAGTTTAAACTGGAAAACAAGTTTGGTATCATTTACTAAAGTTGAAGATTCGCCTACCCTATGACCTAGCAATTCAACTCCTAGGCACAAATCCAAAAGAAATGTGTGTGCGTGTGCACCAGGAGACATGTTTAAGAAAATTCATAGAAAAAAATGTCTATCAACAGTAGAACAGAAACATAAATTGTGGTATATTCATACAATGAAATCCTGTACAGCTATAAACTAATCAAGCTACAGCTACACACAACGTGGATGAATCAGAACAGATAAAATGTTCGATGAAAGCAACCAGATACTAAAGAATATATATTGAATGATTAAATTTATAAAAATTCCAAAAACTAAACTGTAGTGTTCAAGGATACATAGTAAAACCACAAAGCAAAGCAAGGAAATTATCATTATGAAAATTAGGAGAGCAGCTCTCTCCGAGGAGGAGAGACTAAGGGCTTCCGAGGGGCTGGCAGTGTGCTATTTCTTGAACTGGTGGTGGCTACCCAGCTGTTCTCTTTGTGATAAATCACTGAACAACACATATTATTTTATATATGTTTTATGTTTTTAAATTATTACAGAATTAGAAGGGTTAAAAAAGAAAACAAAAATAATGTCAAAATCAGAGTCTAATTTGTCCTGAATCAGATTATTACTCAGAGCAGTAGTTACTCCTTGATAGGAAGCTAAAGTCTTTAAATGAAATTAACTGTTTGGGGGGGTGGTAGGGTTCATAGCCAGGGAGTATAATATTTAGGGACATACCATGTTACTCTGCAGGCACATCCATGTTAATACAGAAAAGCTAAGAGAGAGAAATTGAAAGATTTAGCCAAAATTAAAGAGCAAATCACTGATGGAGTATAAAACGATAATCTAACAAATCAAAAAGTTTAAATTATGTGTTTACCTTCCAACACTTGACAATATCATATTGCCTATTACTTTGGCAAACAACGGGAGGGAAAGTATAAAGAAAGGATAACCATAATATGATTTGCAAATTAAGTTCCTGGGTATAAGGTTTTGTGTTTTTTTGTTTGTTTGTTTGTTTTGTGGTATGTGGGCCTCTCACTGCCGTGGCCTCCCCCCCTGCAGAGCACAGGCTCCAGACACGCAGGCCCAGCCGCCATGGCCCATGGGCCCAGCCGCTCCGCGGCATGTGGGACCTTCCCGGACCGGGGCACGAACCCGCGTCCCCTGCATCGGCACTTGGACCCCCAACCACTGCGCCACCAGGGAAGCCCCAGGTTTTGTATTTTTGAAATATAAGTCAAGCTAACAATAAAAATGCTTTCCCTTCACACCAATTTAGGAGGAAAACTGTAATAACTCTTTCAGGTGCTTGTGTTCAGAACTCCATCTGAAACCTATTTTTGCAAACATTCCCACTTATCATTTACAATGCTATTTTATTTAGTCATGTACTATTCCAATGAAATATACAGAGCAAGATACATTAAAAAACTCTACCTGCAACCTATTCACTTTCTGCGCTTCTTTCAAAGATATAACATGTCCTTTGTTTTCCTGCATCATCATTTGCATTTGATTCTTTAGTTCCTTCACTGCCAGGTCCTTCTGATTAAATACTACTTCAGCAGCAGCAAGAGCACACTGTGGGGAGGGAAAGAAAGCACAAGAGAGATTCAATGTGGAAAGTACTCGAGAGAGAGCCCACATAATACCACAAAAACTGTGGTTTAATGACACCTTGAAGATGTCTCTTAAAATTTTCTTATCCTTTGTTTCTGGTTTCTTTATAAGAAAGGCAGAAACAGCTGAGAGGACCTATTACTGCTATAATGTAAGAATTAGTCACCACAAAGACAGGAAGATTTTCCTTACTTTTATTTCCTGCACTTTAAGATTGAAGCCAGTTATTCAAGAGTACATTCAATGAGATTTTTATAAGTTTTCTAGAATTGCCATGAGATTTTAATGTGGGTTTTTAAAAATCAAAGAGGTCACATTTCCCAAACTGACCTATAGAGTATAACAATGCATTTGGATGTTTAAATAAAGAACATTTGCTAATTTTGCACCCTTTCACTAAAAAGAGATATATTTTGAAGATGTCTGGAAATATGGTTAAACGTATAGTTTTCTTAGTTTGCCTGTCTCCAAATAAACTCGGGACATGAAAATAATACTTTTAAAACAAATTTTGAACTAAATAAACAGAAAATTAACATTGGTCAAGGGTCTACTTTATGCTAGATTGTAACTTGGCATTTTAAAAATATCTCACTGAATAGACATGATTCCTTTTTCATGAAGAAACTAAAGCTCAGTGAGTTAACACCTCTTCCCAGGACAACACAATGGATAAACCAAATTCCTGACAGTCAACTCCAGGGCCTTTCTAGATCTGAAGCCTATGCTCTTTCCGCTAAGCCACAGGAAAAGAGAAGAAAGAGTACCTATTTACAAAATGGTGCTCTCTTTACAAACAAGATTTAATTCACAAAACCAGAGCATGTGCGTGACCTCTCAGGTGGTGGCGTGGAGGTGGATGGGCCTCTGCACTGGGAACCCACGGACTGAGGCCAGCCTTGAATTTGCTACAGCCTTCCCTTGGGACTTTGGGCAAGTCCCTTCTTTTCTCTGCTTGGCATCTTTGAATGACCAAATTAAGGAGGGAACGCATGACCCTGATGGTCCTTATAACCCTATATATTTATATGACCTTTATGACTTTTCTGTTTTTAAAATAAAATATAACTATAATTCTCATTAGTTAATACCCTCTGCTATGGGCAATTAATTGCCCATCCGAGAAGCTTAAAATGTAACGGCTCTCCCAGTGCTGAATATTTAAATATTTTTACATATACTTTATAAACTACAGTTTTATTGTTTATTATTTATCTAAAAGTGTTTATCTGTTGAGTATATTCATGTTCACATACTGTCCTTGTGTTCAAATTATGGAGTAAAAAAGTAACAAAGAGACTTAAGAGGTATTTATGAGGGGATGAGCTGCCTTCACAGAACCCCTGGCACGTGGCCCTACCTACAACTACTGAGTCCAATCCCTTAGCTGCCACAGATGTATAACCTAGGCCCAGGTAGAAGAGAAATAAATGAGAGGAGATCATAATAGGCTAACGTGTATTAAGCCTTACTATAGCTCAGGCATCTTTCTCATCACTTCATGGGAACTAATAATGCCCTAATAGCTTTCAAAGCAACCCTAAACGGAGCTTATTATTAGTGTTTCCATTTTACAGGTAGGGAAACTGAAGCACAGAGAGGTTAAGTATTTGTCCAACGTCAGAGAGCTAGTAAACAGAGGAGCTGGGATTCAAACCTTGGAAGTCTGTTACCCATGTTCTTAACTACTATATTCTCTCACAGAAAAAAAGAACAGAAATGAAGTTTAAAAAACAATTTTTTAAGAGACATATGGGGTAAGGAATGACACCAATCATTTGTCTATTTGCTGTTCAGTGGTATCCATAGATTACTAGGCCTAGAAGATTGCAGACCAAAAAAGGGAATCCATTTTTTTTAAATTGGGAAACACTGAATGCTATATTTCTCACCTGGAGACTCACAATATACATCAGTACTTTTCAAAGTTCTGGGAAGTCTTTGGATTAAGAAACCTGTTTGTTTTTTGCAACCTAGCATTTCCCAAAACAATCTGATCATGGTACCATTTTTCATCAAGACTGTTAATATCTTTGGGATATCATAATCTAGAGTACATAATCTAGAGCAAGTTTAAATTTAGAGTTTCCAACAGACGGAGAGAGGAGGTTACTACCCATCTCACCCCCAAGCAGATGGGTTTTGTGGGCTTCCAAAATCAGTCATCTTAGAAGCATGCTTTCTACCACCAACTCCTATAGTGTACCACAAAGTTCAAGCTTCCTATTACCTGTACTTAATGTTCTGCCAGTTTCTTATACCAAAGAGGAAGGGCCAGGCCTGCTCTATTTAAGAAAAAGGCAGAGCAGAGTTACTGCCTTTAAAAAAAAAAAATCCATGATTTTAAAAGCAGTACTTTATATGCTTATATTTAAAGATCAAAGCTTTGTAAAAGAGCAGCAGTTCTCGTAGTGTATTCAGTAGTGAATCTTTTAGCATGAACCTTAGATCCTTTCAGGGTATCCATGAGGTTAAAACCATTTTCCTAGTTATACTAAAATGATATTTGCCTTTTTCACCATGTTGTCATTTGTACTGATGGTGCAAAAACAATGATATGTAAAACTGCTGGCTCCTAGTATGAATAAAGAGTCACCAAACTGTAGTGGTAGCCACTGTATTCTTCACTGCTGTGCACTAACAATACAAACAAACCAACAAATGCCAGTTTCACTTAAGAATATCTTGATGAAGGAATAAACATGATTTCATTAAATCTCAACACATGAGCACTTTTTTAGTATTCTATGTGTCAAATGGGAGGTATGCATAAAGTAGTTCTGCTGTATACTGAAGGGTGATAGTTATCTGGGGCAAAAAATCTTGTGCAACTGTTTGAGTTCCAAGCTGAACTAGCCACATTTTTCATAGGGTGCTATTTTTACTCTAAAGAACAACAGGCAAACTATTCACACTTTTATGTGTGACAGAACCATCATTTCAAGGAAAACAACTAAAGTATTTGTTGCAAATGATAAAATTCAAGTTTCATGCAAAAATTAGAATTTTGGAAAACACTTCTGCTACTGTAAACTTGACAGCTTCCAGTAATTAACAACTTTGCAGGTGAGATCAGTGGTGATATTAAGGAATGTGATTTTCTTGATACTGTATAGTGAAATGTGTCAGCATTGAAAGATCTTCATAATTTAGTAATCAAATATTTTTCAAGTGTCTAATGCATGTTGATTCAAAATTGTGTGTGGATAAAAGATCCATTCAAAGTACAAGGTAAAAATCAGTGAATGTTAATGTAACAAAATGGTTTCAAATCCCACATTGCAGGTAACCTTTAGGAAATTTCTGCTTGTTGAGTTCTGATATAATGTCAGAGAATATGCACAATTATCTGAAAAAGTCATTAAAATAGTCCTCTCTTCCAACTACAAATCTAGATGAGGCTGGATTTTCTTCATATACTTCAACTAAAACAACATATTGCAACAAATTGCATGCTGACTGATATGAAAATCCACCTGTCTTCTATTAAATCAGACATGAAAAGAGATTTGAAAAAATATAAAGTAATTCCACTGTTATTAAATTTTTTTGTTTTGGAAAATAGTTATTTTTAATGAAAAAATGTTCTTTATATTAACATGTAATTGGGTTATTATTGTTCTGAGTGAATTAATAGTTTAAATTTGTTGTTTTAATTCTAATATGGTAAATATCAATAGATAACAACCCACACAAACAAAAGCTCTTTAGGGAACCTCAATTTGAAGAAAGTAAAGAAAACTTGTGAGCAAAAAGTTTGAGAATTGCTGTAATAGAGGTTTCTTTCTAATACATACAAATAGATATTGAGGAAAGATTTCTAACTAGAAAGCCATCTTATTACCTATATCTTTTCCTATTTAAAAAAAAATGGTGGACTATCCATTTGTCCACCAGATTGCAAACTCCACATAAGCAAAACTAGGTATGTCTATTCTCCATTATTTCCCCAGTGACACATAATCTTTAAATAACAAATGTTTTTCAAATGAAAAGTGGGAAAATGTAATTTTAACTCAATATACATATATACAATATGTATACATGTACATAGCTACATTCCTTAAATATTATCAAATATGATGATTTATTTGTCTAAAAAATCAAAACACCAAACTCAAGGAGTCAGGTAGCATTCTTTTTCTTTCAAGAAGCACTGACCTAAAGAGGGATTAAAAACTCAATAAAATTTAACCTAATTTTGTCCTGAAACTGTGTTTCTTCTCATCCTCTAAATTAATGACCAGTCCCACAAGAGCCTACTTAATAAATACAACAAATTAAAATACACTTGAAGAAGAAAGGAGGAGGAACCAAGAAAGAGATGAATTATGAGGAGAAAGCAATAGGAAAAGGGAGAAAGAAACAGAGTAAAGGCAAATGAGATTTTATATATAATCCTTTCCAAAATAACTTCTGAAATTCCAAAACAACTCTTACTTGCCCAGATAAATTTAGTCTTTAAACAAGTTACTTACAAAGGTAGTGTCTAAGTACCTGGCATTTCTTAAGCTCTCGCTTCAGCTGGAGAACTGTAATATGCTGTGGTCCTTCTTCCAGGTTTCCAATGCCTTGGTGTCCTCTGAATGAGGTGACCTCCTGGGTCACGTTAAACCACTCCTGCAGTTTGTGTTGCTGATTTTGGTTTAGTCTGACAGAATCTTTTAAGTCCACCAGGAAGGTAAAGGCTTCCTCTAAACAATTTTGGTAACCCAAACATTCTCCTTGTAGCTGAGCAACTTGCTCCTCAAGAGAATGGATCCTATTTTTATCAGGAGTCCCCTCCCGATGGATCTGGCTAGTTTGGTTGCTACTAGCCTGCTGGCTTTGCAAAGCTTCTCGAAGCAACTTAATCTCAAATTCCATTTCGCCCATACGGTCTGACTCAGGGCTGAAGTTTAAGGTGGGTTTGTTTCTAATGTTGCGTGCTCTGTTGGCATATTTGAGAGAATTTAAGGACTCGTCAAAATCCAAGGAGGATGGGCTGACACAGGTGATCATGACGGTCTTGGCACTGCCTCCCAGGGAATCTTTCAGAAGCCGGGTAATTTTAGCATCCCTGTATGGAATATGTGAACTCTTCCTGCGTGGGTCCCCAAGAGCGCTTATTACGTTTCCTAAAGCCAGCAAGCCACTGTTGATTTGAATGGATTCTTTGAACCGTTCACCAGTATTCCCTGTTTTGGTTACTCTTTCTGATCCAGCCAAATCCACAAAGTGGAACTTTGAGACAATATGCTGATGGGAATACCACGGTCCATCTTCAGCTGCCTCTTTATTTTTCGCCACTTGACGAAGGCTGATTGTGAAAATCGCGTGTGACCTACTGGAGTGCTCGTTCATTTGGGTGGTATCCGTATGCCTGGCTGCATTCCCCATCTCCAGGAGACTCATCACTTCATCTGCAGTCTCCACCTGGCATTCCTTGGCCCCAACAATCACTTAAAATAGCAACAGCAAGTTTTAATCAAAATCCAGTAGAGTTAAATTAACCATACAACAATTATCATTTGCTTATACCGCCCAGCTAAGACAGTCCCTTTAAAAAACTTCATAGCATTTCAAAATAAAAGTAACATCAGCAACATCATTAAATAATTTTAGATAATCTGCTAACAGGACTATTTTAATAGATGGCATTCATTTTGATGTTTAAATTCTAAAAGATGTCATATATATGTATGTTTTAAACAATCTGTGGGTTTTTTTGGAATCACACATCACACTCAATTCTTTAAAACACATGACAAAAGAAAAATTCTTTATTCCAGTATTTTGATTTGTAGAGTCTAATATACTGATTGAAAGATATTAATTATATATATAACTCAAAAGAATTAATCAGTAGTAGATTAAAATTAAATTAAATTAGTTTCTTTTGAGTTTCGTTAATATTCAAGCCATCCTAAGGTTTAAAGTTTTTGGTAAATAACCAATGATAAATGAAAATTTCAATATAAATAAAGTTGTTTATTCTTTTTTTTTTTTTTTTGCTGTACTAGGGCCTCTCACTGTTGTGGCCTCTCCCGTTGCGGAGCACAGGCTCTGGACGCGTAGGCTCAGTGACCGTGGCTCACGGCCACTCCGAGGCATGTGGGATCTTCCCGGCCCAGGGCACGAGCCTGTGTCCCCTACATCAGCAGGCGGACTCTCAACCACTGCACCACCAGGGAAGCCCTGTTTATTCATTTTAAAAACAGTTTCCCCCTACATAATATAAGAGTGCAAGGCAATTCAAAAAAGGCAAAAAAGTTTCTATTTTAACAACAGAATAGAACCCAAAATAACCTAAGCTTACTACATGTGTTATTTGTTTATATCCAAAAATATTTCGAAAAGGAGTAGGTGGATTTGGGATTTGAATCACAGCAGTAAACCTCCCAAGTCTGTGCTTGAATTACAGCACCAAGCTTCCTCTTTAATCAGATCTTGTCATGTCACTGTTTCTTTAAAAAATATTCACTTTTCTTGCATTGTTTCCATCATGACACCTTTTTTAACAGCCCAGTTCATTTAAAGTTCTAATGTACCTGTACTACAACAAGGAGTGCTAAACTATCAGTTTATAAAATATAACAATTTAACCATAAATCATAGTATAACTTTTCTAAAAGTTTTCTAATGTTAGGCTATAGCTTAGCACTATCTATGGTCCTCAAACCCAGCTGAAAATCACCTGGGAGCTTTATAAAAGGGAAAGTGCCAACACCCACGCCCCATCTTTAACTAATTCATCAGAACCTGTGAAAAGTGGGGCCCAGAAATCAGTATTTCTTAAAAAGCTTCCAAGGTGATGTTAATTGTGCAGCATCCAGGTTGGATACCAACTACCACTTGATACAGAGAAACTCAATAAATATGTCAAACAAATGCATTTTGGTTGTGATTGGGACATTTTATAAGATATATGGTAATTTGTCTTAAGACTGTTACATCCTACCAAAATTTTTGCAGGATTGCTATCAGGTGTGGAGTATTTCCATCATTAAATTTATGAGGAGTGATAGTGTATACTTCCCTACTGTCTATTTTACAATAAACATGTATTTTTTTGGTAACTTTTAATAAAAGATAAACACATTCAATAATTACATTTTACAGAAGCTCAAAACATCCGTCTGGATTTCGTCCAGAAAAGATAAACTATACAAAATTATCTAATAAGGTCACAAAGTACTATGTATGCTTTCTTTCTAAAAAACAAAACAAGGGGCTTCCCTGGTGGCGCAGTGGTTGAGAGTCCGCCTGCCGATGCAGGGGACACGAGTTCATGCCCTGGTCCGGGAGGATCCCACATGTTGCGGAGCAGCTGGGCCCATGAGCCATGGCCGCTGGGCCTGCGCGTCCGAAGCCTGTGCTCCGCAACGGGAGAGGCCATGGCAGTGAGAGGCCCACGTACCGCAAAAAAAAAAAAAAAAAAAAAAAAGATGCCATACAATATGTGGGATTGTGAGTGTATTTTTTTTTTTAATCAGATGTGTGTAGAAAAAGAAATCTGGAAGGAAACACACCAAAATTGGAAGTTGCTATTTCTGAGTTCTGAGATTAAAGATGATCTTTAACTTTCTTCCTTATACTTTACTATATTTTCAAAATGTTCTACGTTGAACATATTACCTTTTAAGTCAGAAAATCAGAAAGTGTTATTCTTTAAAATACTTGTATTTTGACCTTCCCATTCTAACGTTCTCCCATTTCCAAACAAATAGATGTTTAATGAGATTAACAGGTTGACAGCACAGAACGTCAGACGTTGAGAAGCACAACAAAGGACGAGTAAATGTCAGTATGAAGGAGCAAACACATAAACTCTAAATTTAAAAAAAAAAAAAAGAGGAAGCAATAGGTGTGCTGGGACAAAAATCAGAAAGGAAGAAAGGAGAGTTCTTGGATCAACTTGGATGAACACCAAAACACCAAAGGGAGAAGCCATCCCCAACCTCAGGGTAACTCTGGGAGAAAAAAAAGTACAAAAATTATTTTAGCCTATGTCACACTTTCTTAAGATCAGCCCAGGGGCGGGGGAGGTGGCAATTATAGGAAATAAATACAGTTGATCCTTGAACAACACGGGTTTGAACCGTGCAGGTCCACTTACATGTGGATTTTTTTCAATAGTAAATACTACAGTACTACACAATCTGAGGTTAGTTGAATCCGCTGAGGCAGTGGATACAGAAGGATGACTGTAAATTATACTTGGGTTTTTGACTGCGCAGAGGGTCGGCACCCCTAATCGCCACCCTCCCCACCACGTTGTTCAAGGGTCACCTGTATTTGGAATTACACCTTAATAACTTCATCTTACCAACCACTCTGAACTTCTACTTTTCACCTGGGTGCGTTAACGGCTACTGGTAATCAATAAGCTATTCAATTTAAAAGCAAAAACAAATGCATTTTGTTTCTATGTCTGTTTTTAAAGAATCCTTGGAAAATATCCAGAAACTGAATTAAACCATATTCATTTGCTAATGAAGACTACCAATTAAGTAGGCTACTTTACCTGTGTTTCCCTTTTCATCTTCTCGGATGTGAAGATCCTTCATAGATGTCTCCAATTCTAGAAGATCTCTTAGGTCTTCCTTGTATACTTCTATATAAGACACTTTTATCTTAGAGTCAATGCTAAGATTTTCAGAGATGTTTTGAAATATTTCTTGGATAGCACGAGGAATGATACCTTTTTGACCCTCCACAACTGAAGCTGAAAATTTAGAGAAAGAAAGCACATCTGAAATTTAAGATATAAGAAAAGCTACAATCAATAAATTTATTTTCTCAAATTTCTATTATAAAATTTTAAAATAGAAAAAGAAAACATTTTTTTTCTATAAAGTTCAGAAGTGAAAATTTTCACATGCATGCTCTTACTCAAACTTCATTCATGCATTCATTAAATAATTATATAGTACCTACTGTGTGCCAGGCAGTATTCTAGGACACTGGGAACCATCAGTGAACAAAACAAGGAAAAGATCCCTGCCCTTAAGGAACTGTACTAGGAGAGACAGACAACAGCTAAAAACAATAAGTGAATTATATAGTATATTAAAAGGCATTAAGTATGCCTGGAGAAAAAAATAGGGCAAGGTAAGGGGGACTGGAAGTGTAAGTGTATCTGATGGGAGGTGCTTGTAACTTTAAATAGGAAAGTCATGATGGGTGGGCATCACGGAGAAGCTGACCTTTGAGCAGAAACTTGAAAGAGGTGGCAGAGGAGCCATGTAGGTATCTGAATGTCCCAGAACAGCAAGCGCAAAGGTGCTAAAATGGTGTGATCCATAAACAAGGAGGACATTGTAGTTGGAGCAGATGGAGCAAGGGGAGAGTAACAGGGCATGAGGTCAGAGAGGTGACAGAAACAAGACCATGTAGGTCCTTGTAGACCACGATAGATTTTAGGTCTTATTCTGGGTGAGATGAGAGCCACTGGAGCAGAGCAGTAACTTGGGATTTAAAAGAGACCACTCTGTCTGCTGCGTTTTGCCTCAGTCATAGAAGGGTAGGGGCAGAAGTAGGGAGACCACTTAGGAGACCAGTGCACTAATCCAGGAGTCTAGAGGGTTCGGGGGAGAGGTGGACATGACGGTGACATAAGCTTGGCAGCAGAGAAAGGTGAGAATTGACCAGGTTCTGGATTTATGTTGAAGGGAGAGCCATTAAGATTCCCTGACAGATTGGATATGGAATGTGACAGAAAGTGATGAGTCAAGGATGACTCCAATATTTTGTCTTGAGCCAGTGGAGTTGCCATCAACTGATATAGGGAAGAGTGTGTGTTGAGTTGGTTTAAGGGGAAAATGTCAGAAGTTCATTTTTTGACCTATTAAGTTTGAGGTATCTATTAGGGATACAGTTGGGAAGGTTGAATAGGCAGTTGGATATATGAGACTAGAGTACAAGACAGTCATCTGGACTGGAGGTAAAAAACTGGAAGCTACATATAGATGGTATTTAACGTCATAGGGCTGGATGAGACCAAGGGGAAAAGTTGAGAGTCAGAAGAGAAGAACACCAAACATTGAGCCCTGGGCACTTCATCATTTGTTGGTTCACTTATCAGGAACTAGCAAGAGAGCATGAGTGACCAGTTAAGTAGGAGGAAACCAAGAACGTGGTGGCCTGGAAACCAAGTGGAGAGCATGCGTCAAGTTTGCTGAAAGGCCGGTTTGATGAGAATTGACCACTAAATTTAGTAAGTGAAGGTCATTTGTGATAGCTTGACAATTGCAGTGTCAGTGGTAGTGGAGGTGAAAGTCTGAACGGAGTGAGTGTAAGAAAGACCGAGAGGAGAACTGACACCACGAGTCACAGATAATACCTTCAAGGTTCTGCTGCAAAGAGGAGCAGAGAGAAGTGGGGTGGTTGGATGGCAGCGAGAGTGGGTAAAACAGAGGGGAAGTGAGAAATGTAACTAATTATTTTAAGATACAGTAAAGACTGATTTACCCAGCATTCTCTCAATTATTAACACTAAAATACTATTAAAAATCACATCATTGTAATTGATGAAAAACTGTATTCACAATGTAATTGTGAACATCAATGTAATTAATGAAAAACTGTGATCACTGTTTATGACTATTCACTGTTTGAAATGTCATGTGAGCAATGATTTTTAAATTTGATAATGCCCCATTTCCTCAAGGTGAGCAAACTGGTCCTCTAGAATACTATGACAATGTTAACCAGCACAGCTTTTTTGGAGAAACATTAGTATAAATGGTATCAAAAGTTGAAACGTGATCACCCTTTGACTCAGATATAGTCCTAAAGAAATACATATACACATACCCAAAGGTGTTGTATAAGGATCAGTAACAATTTCCTGTAATTGATAAAAAATTCCAAACACTAATAAATCCATTAGTAGGAGAATGGTTAACAATGGTATACCATGCACCTATTGTTAAACAGATGTCTAAGATCCATAAAGTTAAAAAAAGCAACTGCAGGGCTTCCCTGGTGGTGCAGTGGTTGAGAGTCTGCCTGCTGATGCAGGGGACACGGGTTCGTGCCCTGGTCCAGGAGGATCCCACATGCTGCAGAGCAGCTGGGCCCGGGAACCATGGCCGCTGGCCTGTGCGTCCGGAGCCTTTGCTCCGCAACGGGAGAGGCCACAACAGTGAGAGGTCCGCGTACCGTAAAAAAAAAAAAAAAAGCAACTGGAGAGCAAATTCATTTGCATAAAAGAAAACATACATATCTATGCAAAGAATATTTTTGAAAAAATTCACAAAAAATGGTGGTTACCTCTGGGGAGTTAGAACAGGGAGAGAAAAGAAAGGAAAACTTTTACTTTATCTTATGGCTGTAATATCTGAATTTTTACCTTTAGAAATAAATATATATAGTCTAAAAATAAAAGTTTTAAATATAAATAACTTAAAAATAAACTAAATATACTGTATAGAATTGCAAGCAGCACAAAAACAGTTTACAATCAAATGACATGACAATGAAAAAAACTAAATGATAGTTAGATAACAGTTTAAGGCAAAAATAAAAGATTTAATAAGAAAATATTTATTGAAAACCCCAGGAATGCAATAGGCATAAGTGGCACCAGTGAAGTTCAAAATAGGTAGAGGTAGTACCTAAAATATCTAAAATATCTCTCTTTAGATCATTTATTATGGTCTGGGGAGAATCCCAATCATTGGAATGCAACTCATATATGTTAGCAAGAACCCTTTAAAAAAAATTATTTGTGTCGTATTTTTTCACATTTAGCCAAAAAGCATGTTTTGAGATTTCTGGGATGGAAAGGTACAGGTAGTTTGAGGGTAAACAGGCATAAGAAAGAGACAGGGGAGCAAGCCAGGGTCTAATGGCAACAAAGGACGTGTGCAGAAGAGAGGTACAGAAAGACCAGTTCTGCCCAAGCCAAGACCTCAATCCAGGAATGAGGAAGGGAACATCTCTACGCCTCTTCTCCTCCATTACTGCCTCTTCTCCTCCATCACTTGCGCAACGCAGAACACAGATTAACACAATAACATGAATGAACAGAAATGCATACAAGAGACTCAGGTATTTGTACACCAATGTTCAGATCAGCATTAGTCCCAATAGCCTAAAGGGGAATACAATTCAAGTGTCCATCAACAGATGAATGGATAAACAAAAGATGACTTATACATACAATGGAAAATCATTCAGTCATAAAAAGGAATGAAGTTCCAATACATGCTACAACATGTAGGATATTTTTAGATACATTCTGCTAAGTACAGAAGCCAGACATAGGAGGACAAATACTGTATGATTCCACTTCTATGAAATATCTAGAAGAGGCAAACTTACAGTCAAAGAAAGTAAATTCGAGGTTACCAGGGGATGGCAGGGGGAGGACAGTTATTGCCTAATGGGTACAAAATTTCTATTTGGGGAGATGAAAAGTTTTGGAAAGAGCAGTGATGGTTACAAAACACTGTGAATATACTTAATGTCACAGAACTGTACTCTTAAAAATGGTTAAAATGGTAAATTTTGTTTTACATTTATTTATTTAACCACAATTTTTAAAATAGTAAAAATAATATACAAGGTAAAATTTAGAATAAGTAAAAGAATAAATTGGACTTAAAGTTAAATAAGTTTCTGTAGGCCAATTTAGAAACCTGCCCACCATTTTTAGCATTGTTCCATGGAAAATATATTCCAAGCTACAAAAAGGTGGCTTACAAATGAACCTTAAAAACAACTTGCTTCCAAGTTGAAGATTACCAATGTTCAGATTTTTGGCAACAAACATCCTGAAAATCTGAACCTTACTAACTTGGACCGCCTTTGATTGCCATCATGTAGCAAATACGGGAACCTGCAGGTTTTTCCAGTACAAGAGAAAGTGAAAATTCCTTTTGGAGAGCTTCCAGGAACTAGCCAATAGTACTATCTATAAACTCCAGCATATATTGAATATATGCATTCTAGATTAGCCAGAATATGAGGCTGATCAGAATAGCTCATTCATTTCCCACTTCAACAGATAACAAAGCAGAGTAACTCAAAAGACTTAAAAAAAAAAAAAGCTGAATTACAAATAATATTTACAAATAAATCATCAAAATGTATTCTGGTAACCTAAAGATCACATTTTCACTGTCACTCTTATATTCCTGAAAGACTATTTCAGAGAGAAAAACTGTAAAGTTTTATACTTTAATAGCCATCATTTAGCTCTTATACACTATTTAAAGAGTATGCAGGGCTTTCCTGGTGGCGCAGTGGTTGAAAGTCCGCCTGCCAATGCAGGGGACATGGATTCGTGCCCCGGTCCGGGAAGATCCCACATGCTGCTGAGCCTGCGCGTCCGGAGCCTGTGCTCCGCAACGGGAGAAGCCACAACAGTGAGAGGCCCGCGTACCGAAAAAAAAAAAAAAGAGTATGCAAATGAAAGTTTTTAGAGAAGATTACACCTGGTAAAAGTTGGTAAATCCAAGGTTCTGAAAAGCAGGGAAATGAATAGTAATTTAAATAAGCATCATATTGAAAAATAAGAGATTTCATCTACCACAGTACCTAGCATGGTACTCTAGCCACTGCAAAAGCTCAATAAATTATTTATTGGAGAAAAAAACTACATTATTTGCATGGTCAATAATCAAACAGCAGATGACTGACCCAGAATTGGTGTCTTACAGATAGCCTGGGAAATCAAAAATGCTATTTTCACAAATACACCAAGAAATGTAACTTCAAACAACAAAGTGCAATTTTTCACTTATCAGATAGTGAAAAAAAAATTTCGGATTTCTGATTTCCAGTAACTGGCAAGGATATGAGCAAATAAATGGCTTTCACATATTGGTGGCAGGATATAAACTGGTACACCCTTTTGGATAATTTGTCAGTATCTATCCACATTTTAAATGTGCATACCCATTACTCAACAAATCTACTTCTAGGAATCTATTCTACAGAAATACTAACAAATGGATGCAAAGTTAAATGTATAAAGATATATACACTGTAACTTTTTATAACAGTAAAAATCAAAACCAACCATTAATCCTGTCCATTAATACCGGAATGGGTGAATTATGATCCATTCAAACTATGGAACATTGTATGTACAGCCAAAAAAAATGAGGTGAAATTCTATGACCCAAATGGAAAGAAATGAAATGATATTTTATATCGTTAAATGCAAAAAGAAAGTTACAGAATCACAGGTATGAAATACCTCATCAAACAATTAAACTAACAACAAAAAAAACCCAAAAAACTACATGTGTGAGTACTTGTAATATACCTAGAAAAATGTCTAGAGGACTCTGAATGTATACATCAAACTGTTATTTCCTGGGAATGAGAGGAGCTTTCATTAGTTTAATTAGATTTCTTAAGCATCACTTGCAATTCTTTTTACAATGAACATTAATTTTTTTTAAACTAGCAGAAAAAAACATCAAAAACTCTTCCTAATGGCGATCTGTTTCTTTTGGTATGAAGTATTTTAGCTAAAATATTTTAGGACAATAGATAACTTTAATAACCTTTTCCCTTAAGGAATTAAAATTGTATTCATGGCCTCTTAAAAAAAAAACAATATAGCTGTAAGTATGTGACCAAGCTGTGAAAATTGTTAAGGGAGTAGAACTTAAAAGTTCTCATCACAAGAAGAAAAATGTAACTGAGGTGACTGATGTTAACTGAACTTACTGTGGTAATCATTTTGCAATATATAGATATATCAAACTATTATGCTGTATACTTTGGATTAATACAATGTTGCATGTCAATTATATCTCAAAACTGGGGAAAAACAGCAAAGGGCTGAATACTGAACATTGTCTTAAACGTCTTTCCTCAAGCAAATATAATCATAAATAGTTTAATGAAACTTCAATATTTAAAGCAAATCTTTCAAAGATGATGATCTTATGAACACATCTGTTATCCTATTGATTATTTCATTCAGTTAATATGCTGAGCATCTACTATGTGTCAGGCACTGTGGTATTTCAGCTTCTTTCTACTGTCTGAAATAAAAGTAAAAGAGTATGAGAATCTTACCAACATGGCCTCCTCCAATGGTGTATGTCTTCCCAGATCCAGTTTGTCCATAGGCAAAAACAGTTGCGTTATAGCCCTCAATGAGTGACAACACTAGTGGCTTTATACAGGTATTATAAACTTCATCTTGAGTGGAATTTTTGCCAAAAACAAAATCAAAAGTAAAGACTCTATCTCTCCCAATGATAACTTGTTGCGTGTTTGGAATAACTCTCACACAAGCTTGATAATTATGAAGAACTTCTTTGCACAGCAGAGGTCTAATTCTTACAGCAACTTTTACTGGTATTTCTTCCATGGCAGCTTAGATTTTACTAAACAGATTTTCTACTTAATATTCAGTATCTAGCGTGAGAAACATCCATTTTACGTAAGATCTGGACTCCTGTGTATCAAAATAAAAACAAAATTTAGTTATTGACTTCTCTATCGTAATAAACTAAGCAACTTCTAAAGCAAAGTCAATTAAAGCAGGGTTTGTTCTAATATAAGATAGCTACAAAGAGTAAATCTGTCTTGAAAAAGTATACCTATAATTTATAGATGAAGTGATATGATGTCTGGATTTGCTGCAAAATAATCTAGGGGATGGGAGCCTTGAGTTGGTAAATGATGAAGCAAAGTGATAAGTACATGGGATTCCATTATGCCATTCTTTCTATAGTGGTAATATGTTTCCCAGCTCATTAATCTAAATATTGAATAATTGGGGAATTAGAAACATAAGGCAAGGACTTCCCTGGTGGCGCAGTGGTTAAGAATCCGCCTGCCAATGCAGGGGACACGGGTTCGAGCCCTGGTCTGGGAAGACTCCACATGCCGCGGAGCAACTAAGCCTGTGCACCGGAACTACTGAGCCCACGTGTCACAACTACTGAAGCTCACGTGCCTAGCACCCGTGCTCTGCAACAAGAGAAGCCACCACAATGTGAAGCCCGCGCACCACAACGAAGAGTAGCCCCTGCTCTCAGCAACTAGAGAAAGCCTGTGTAGCAACGAAGACCCAACTCAGCCATAAATTAATTAATTAATTAAAAAGAAACATAAGGCAAGGAAATAATTGGGTAATTGTACATGTACACAAGTAGTGCAAAGCAAACCCTTAGATTTTACAGCTATGTACTGAAAAATAACAACTCCTCTTTGTCGCAAATGTTAGAAATCAATCCATGAAAATAGTTTTAAGGATTTCTATAAGTCAATGTAAATTTAAAACTAAATTTTCTATTTAAAAATAACCAAAACTAACAGAAAAACTGCTGTTCCACTCCTAAATTACATGGTACTTATTTCTGAAGATCTCTGGTGGAATTAATACATTAAAAATTATATTGGGGGACTTCCCTGGTGTCCAGTGGTTAAGAATCCGCCTTCTGGGCTTCCCTGGTGGCACAGTGGTTAAGAATCCGCCTGCCAATGCAGGGGACACGGGTTCGAGCCCTGGTCCAGGAAGATCCCACATGCCGTGGAGTAACTAAGCCCATGCGCCACAACTACTGAGCCTGTAAGCCTAGAGCCCGTGCTCTGAAACACGAGAAGCCACTGCAATGAGAAGCCCGCGCACGGCAACAAAGAGTAGCCCCCACTCAACATAACTAGAGAAAGCCCGTGTGCAGTGACGAAGACCCAGCACAGCCAAAAATAAATAAATAAAATAAATTATTTTTAAAAACAAACAGAAAAGAATCTGCCTTCCAATGCAGGGGATGCGGGTTCGATCCCTGGTCGGAGAATTAAGATCCCACACACCACGGGTAACTAAGCCCGTGCACCACAACTACAGAGCTTGTGCACTCTGGAGCCTGCGCGTCACAATTGCTGAACCTGTGCGTCCCAATGAACAATGCCATGTGCCGCAACTAAGAACCAATGCTGCCAAAAGTAAAATAAACAAATATTTTTTAAAAATTGCAGGGACAATGTTTTAAAAAAATTAAATTGGTAGCTATACTTACAATGAACAACCTGAAAAATAAATTAAGAAAACAATTCCATTTATAACAGCATTACAAAGAATCAAATAAATTTAAGAATAAATTTAACAAAAGATGTGTAAAACTTACACTCTGAAAACTACAAAATATTGTTGAAAGTAAAGAAGATTTAAATAAATGGAAAAACATATCATGTTCATGGGTTAGAAGACTTAACATATTAAAATGGCAATATTCCCCAAATTGATCTAAAGAGTCAACAGAGTGCCTATCAAAATCCCAGCTGACTTCTTTGTAGAAACTGACAAGCTGATCCTAAAATTCATATGGAAATTCAAGGGACATAGAACAGCCAATACAATAATGAAAAAGAACAAAGTTAGAGGACATACTTCCCCAATTTTAAAACCAGGCAACAGATCAAGACAGTGTGGTACTGGCATACAACAGACTTAAAGATCAATGGAAAAGAACTGAGAATACAGAAATAAATCCTCACATTTATGGGCAACTGATTTTCAACAACAGTGTCAACACAATTCAATGGGGGAAAGATAGTCTTTTCGACAAGTGGTCATGGGACAACTGGATATCCACATGCATAAGAATGAAGTTGGACTTCTACCTCACGTCGTATACTAAAGTTAATTCAGAACGGTTCACAGGACTTCCCTGGTGGCGCAGTGGTTAAGAATCCGCCTGCCAATGCAGGGGACACGGGTTTGATCCCTGGTCTAGGAAGATCCCATATGCTGTGGAGCAACTAAGCCCATGCACCACAACTACTGAGCCTGCAAGCCACAACTACAGAGCCCATGCACCACAACTACCGAAGCCCACATGCTCTAGGGCCCACATGCCGCAACTACTGAGCCTGCGTGCTGCAACTACTGAAGCCTACTCGCCTAGAGCCCATGCTCCACAACAAGAGAAGCCACCACAATGAGAAGCCTTCTCACTGCAACGAAGAGTAGGCCCCGCTTGCCGCAACTAGAGAAAGGCCGCGCACAGCAACGAAGACCCAACGCAGCCAAAAACTAAATAAAACTTAAAAAAGATACTCAAAAATGTTTAAAGAAACAAAACAAAAATAAATGGTTCTGGGCTTCCCTGGTGGCGCAGTGGTTGAGAGTCCGCCTGCCGATGCAGGGGACATGGGTTCGTGCCCCGGTCCGGGAAGATCCCACATGCCGCGGAGCGGCTGGGCCCCTGAGCCATGGCCTCTGAGCCTGCGCGTCCGGAGCCTGTGCTCCGCAACGGGAGAGGCCACAACAATGAGAGGCCCGCGTACCGCTAAAATAAATAAATAAATAAATTTAAAAAAGAATTTACATGTCTTTTAAAAAATCCATAGCACTTATACTTCTTCAGATTCTGATCAATTACAGCCATCAGAAGCGTACGTATTAATCTCACCAATCAATGTAAAGAAAGGTGAAATCTGATTGGCTGGCATACTCAATGGAGTTTTGAAATCTGAGCAAAGGAAGGAGAAATATTTGATCACTGATGCCATGCCGTTGATCAGAAAAGTGTCTCCAAATACCGTTGCCATCCTGTGCCCTTGGCTTTTCATAAGTAGTGACTGTCTAAAAATTGTAGTTTGTAAGTAATATTTTCTTAAGAAACTTTCTGGCAAGTGGATAGTGAATCTCATAAGGATCTCAGAAAAGGCCCCAAATGCATACAGAACAGATGGAGAAGACAGGAAGCAAAGAGGGGAAACAACAAAGATTTTTAAAGTTGGAGTGGGCGAAGTTTTATTTTAAAAGTGTTTCAAAGAAAGAATCTGGGCACCCTTTCTTTCTCAATTATCACCTGCTCTAAGGGAGGGGTCTTTCAGACTTCCGCAGAACTTATAATGCACCGAAGTTTCAACATCCGCAATGGAAAAAGGAGGCCTGTGACAAAACGAAACCCCCAAGGAAGGTGGGCCTTTCCATCCCTCTTCAGATACCGCAGCTGGAAGCACGAAAACAAGAAATACACAGGATCCGATTCAGTGAGGCTCGGTCCGGGGTTCCCGGGGTTCCCGCGCGTCCCTCTTCTCCAAGCCCTTCTACCTCAAGGGGCACCCAACTTCCCCGGCCGCTCGCCTGGGAGTCCCAGCATAGGCCCAGGCCCCTCGGACGCACTGCTCCGCCTTGCGGGCGCCCCGACCGCCCTCCCCGCCAGCCGAGCCGCGGAGGCTCCCAATCCCCCGGCCGGCCCCCTCTCCTCCCAACGGCCGGCCGGGGACACCGGCTCAGAGAGCTGACCGGCGCCGCACCAGGGCCGACCCCGCCAGCCCGGCCCGACCCGCCTGCCACTCACTGACCGGTTCGAGAAACCCCAGTCTCCCGCGGCTAACGCAGCGCAGGACTCTTCGCCTTCACTTCGCACCGCCGCGCCGCATCTACCGCTTCAGCCCGCGCCTTTTGTTGTCGCGGGTTCTCCCGGCAACCAGCAAAGACCGCGCTGACGCGCCCCGCCCCTCAGGGCGGCCGGAAGCTCCCCAGACCCCGCCCCAGCCCGCCAAGCCCCGCCCATGACCCCGCCCCGTCAGGGAGGAGCCTAGAGCCGGCCACCTGGAGGCCCCGCCTCCCAGATTAGCTCCAAAGTAAATACTACCCAGGGACCCCCTCATAGTGCTGAGCCAGAGAACTCTCCAGGAGTTTGTAAGATGAATATGAGAAAGATTCACATTGCTTTCAATATTTTAGCTACCAATTCCGTTTATTTTTATTGAAGTTAAATAAAAGTCCGCATAACATAACATGACATAACATAACATGAACCGTTTTAAAATGTACAATTCAATGGCGTTTTAGACATTCACAATGTTGTGCAACCATCACCTATTTCCAAAACATTTTCATCACCCCAAAAGGAAAGCCTCATACCAGTTAGCAGTCACTCCCATTCCTCTCTTCCCCAGCCACTGGCGACCACTAATCTGGTTTCTGTTTCTATGGATTTACCTGTTCTGGCCATTTCATAGTCATAGAATCATACAATTTGTGGCCTCGTGTCTGGCTTCTTTTGCTAAACGTTTCCCAGTTTCACCCATGTTGTAGCATGTATCAGAACTTTAATTCCCTTTTATGGATGAATAATATTACGTTATGTGGACATACCACATTTTATTTATCCATTCATCAGCCGAGGGATATGTGGGTTTTTTTCCACTTTGGGAATAATATGAATAATGCTGCTATTAACATCATGTACAAGTATCTGTTTAATGGTTTGTTTTGTTTTTTTCAGTTTTTCTGGGTATAGACCTAGGAATGAAATTGCTGGGTCATATGGTAATTCTATGTTTAACTTTTCCAATTTACTTTTAAATGCCTCAATGCCTCCCATTTTTAATAGCACCATCTAAGTATCTTCAAAAAGCAGTCCTTCTCTCATAAAACTTAAAAGTGAAAGCAGAAAAAAAAGCTGCTTAAATTATTAAATTGAATTATTTTGAATTTTTAAAATCCAAAGATGTGAATTTGTTAATTATGTTGCACTTTTAGAATTTTTTTTTAAAAGTTGCCCATCATGACTGGTCTGCTGACAAAACTGCAATGAATAACAGTAACAATTTAGGTTTGGGAATTCCCGGGAAGACTAGGCAGCAGGTTTCAGGAGGCCACATGTCTGCAGACGAGGTCAGCAAATGCCTAACAGGATTGGAATGGGACATTTCCTGTTGCCCCCAAATTGGTGTCTTGAGTCCAAAGTTGAAGAGAAGGGGTCACTTAAGTTCCCCACATTGTAGACACCAGTCATTATCACCCCCTTCACCCCCAGGACTTACAGCAGAACAAAACTAATTCCATTCCAACTCCAATCCTATCTCCTTTTATAGCCCTTATAAAGAGGGACTTGGGGTGTTGAAGGAGAGTCATGGGGTCTTGGTCCTTGTGGAGTGGGGAATAGAGGGTTCACAAGTAAGAGGCATCTCTCTTAAGTCAAAGGAGGCTCTAAGAGTGACCTGGAGAGCCTGGGGGAGTGGCACCAAGGGGAAACTGGCCTTCTGGTTGGACAGGGCTAGGGGAAGAGGCTGCATGTGCCTCTCTATACTGAAGCAAAGCAATTGGATAGCAGTGCAGGGAGGGCGCTGGAGTGCAGCAGCCTGCACTCCCACCATTTGGCAGGGCAAGAACCTGTGATCTTCCTGTGTTTCCCATCTTGCCCTCACAAATCCTTCCTGCACACCTGCTATAGTGATCTATGCAGGACACAAACTTGACCACAAATCTGCCCTTTGCCTATACCATTTCTGTGACGTCATGGAGAATATTACTACTCAGCAGCTGGAATGAGAAATCCATGTAGAGAGAAAGACTTCTTTTGCCGAGAAGATGCTTTGCCAGCCTACACCCAGGTGGAAGTTAAGTTTGCAGAGAAGATGCTTTGCCAGCCTACACCCAGGTGGAAGTTAAGTCTCCTGGGTTTGACCTTTGGTAGGTACCCAGGCTTCAGAGAAGAAGATGGTGTTGCGCATATGAACCAGGAGAATTATTTGACTGCTCTTGAGAAGGAATGAGAAAGATGGAGGAAGCCCAAGATGCTGGGAAGAAGCTGAATCAGAGAGAGGGAAAGGATAGCTGATAAAGGAATTCCAGGGAGAACAGAAATGGCTAATGGAGATCTTTAGGTTGCATGCTGTGAGGAAGGTGAACCTCTTCCTCTCTCTCCCCTGCAAAATCTTCAGTAAAGTCTACATTGCTAACTGAGGTATTTGTGACAGAGGATTGTTTGTAGCAACTTAAAGATCTGCCAGCCCCTAAGTCAAGTTTGGTGCTGGACAAAACCACGTGAACCTAGAAGGCAGAGGATTAGAAGAAAGCTGAAGTCTGGCTTACATGTCAGTGATGTTTTACTTCACTAATAAACCAAAACAATGTAAATTAAAATGATAGGGACTTCCCTGGTGGTCCAGTGGTAAACAATCCACCTTCCAATGCAGGGGACACACGTTCAATCCCTGGTTGGGGAACTAAGATTCCACATGCTGCGGGGCAACTAAGCCCACTTGCCACAATTACTGAGCTCGTGCGCCTCAACTAGAGAACCCACATGCTGCAAATTACAAGAGCCCACGCACTCTGGAACCCACGCACCACAACTACAGAGACCATGTGTCCTGGAGCCCGCGTGCCACAACTAGAGAGAGAAAACCTGCATGCCACAACTAGAGAGAAACCCACGAGCTACAACTAGAGAGAAGGTCGTACACTACAACTAGAGAGAAACCTGCATGCCGCAATGAAGAGCCTGCGTGCCACAACTTGAGAGAGAAAACCTGCATGCCACAACTAGAGAGAAACCCACGAGCCACAACTAGAGAGAAGGTCGTACACCACAACTAGAGAGAAACCTGCATGCCGCAGTGAAGAGCCTGCACCACAACGAAAGATCCCGCATGCCTCAACAAAGACCCTGCATACTGCAACTAAGACCTGACGTAGCCAAAAAAAATAAATAAATAAATGTTTTTGTTTTTGTTTTTGTTTTGCGGTACGCGGGCCTCCCACCACCTCAGCCTTTCCCGTTCCAGAGCACAGGCTCTGGATGCGCAGGCTCAGCGGCCATGGCTCACGGGCCCAGCTGCTCCGCGGCATGCGGGATCCTCCCGGACTGGGTCACGAACCCGTGTCTCCTGCATCGGCAGGCGGACTCTCAACCACTGCGTCACCAGGGAAGCTCATAAATAAATATTTTAAAAAATTAAAATGATAAACCATTTTCGCCTATAAAGTTGGCCACATCTCTTCATAATGTAATACGGGCAAGCATTCAGTGAGGCAGACTGTATATTTGCACATTTTGCTGTATATTTTGCTGATAGGGCAAGCCCTTCCTCATTATTGTAACTTTCTTGACTATTCTTAGCATTTCTCTTCCAGAAGAACTTTTGAATCAGTTTGACATTTTCCAGAAGAAAGTTCCATTGAGTTTTTTTATTGAATTGCAGTTAAATTTTTTAAATTTATAACACATTTTTATAAACATAGAGGACAAATTTTAAAATGTATAAACTGCATGGCTCTTTTATGAAAAAGATAAAACGGCTCTCATGATAAAGTCCAGTCTTCTCGACATGGTATACAAAGGCCTTCCTTAATCTACTTTTTGCCTACCTTTCTAGACTCATCCCTGCTATTTCTTGCCTCACATTTTATTCTCCAGCATCAGCAGAGACCATATATTATTTATTTTTATGCCCCCATAGTTGAGCAGCGTTTAATACATAGTAAATACTAAGCTCGTCGCAGAGATGCAACAAATATTTATGGAAATAAAAAGCTAAAAAACAGACAGCAAGTAATTTGCTCAAGGCTACATGGTTGGTAAGTGACAGAGGCAAGACTGAAGCCTATATGTGTCAGATGACAAAGTCAACACTGCCTCCTCAAAGATTGAGCTCAGCTATAGCTTTCTACATAATGTACATCTTTCTCTCTCTCTGTCTGTTCCCCTCTCCATCTTTCTCTCTCCCTGTATTTACTCAAATCAGGATCCAAACATGGTTCACATGTAGCATTTGGTTGACAGGTCCCTTAATTCTCTTTTAGTAACAGTTACCTCCACCTTTTTAAAAACTGTGGTAAAATACACATAACATAAAATTTACCATCTTGACCATTTTTAGGTATGCAGTTGAGTAGTGTTAAGTCCATTCACACTGTTCAACAAATCTCCAGAACTTTCTGTCTTGCAAAACTGAAACTCTATACCCAGTAAACAACAATTCCCCATTCACCCCTTCCCCCCCTGGAAACCACCATTCTAATTTCTGTCTCTATGAATTTGACTACCCTAAGTACCTCATATAAGTGGATTCATATGGTATTTGTCCTTTTGTGACAGACTTATTCTCTTAGCAAAATATCCTCAAACTTCACCCATGTTGTAGTGATCTTGGGTGGCCTTGGCCTGCAGCGGCTTGAAGTGAGATTTCGGCTCCCGGCCAGTAACTGAGGTCAGGTCGTGGCGGTGAGAGCACTGAATCCTAGCCACTAGACCAGTGGTCAGTGACAAGGCCCTGGCTCTACGTCTTTGCAGAAGAAGAATTCCCACAAAGACGGAAAGTAGTGAAACAAGTAAAGTATTTATTAAGAGAAAAAAAAGTACAGTATGTGTGGACAGACACACAGGCAGGCTCAGAGAGAGAGTTGCGCCCTCGTAGCAGTTTAAATCACTTATATGGGGCATTTCTTCCATGTTTCCTTTGACCAATCATTTTTTTTTTTTTTGACCAATCATTTTGATTTGTCTGATTCAGAGTCCATATTTGGTGTATCTCAGGATTTTCCCATGTTTGTGCATGCATCTCTTAGCCAAGATGGATTCTACCAACGAGGCCTATGCGTAGGTTTGGTCACTTGGCATGACTCCCCTTTTGACCTCCAAGGAGCCTTTCTG